AGATTGCCTTCAGATTCCTTGCCATTCTGAAAACTCTTTGGAGTAGTCTGAAATCACTTAACTTTAAATGCTTACTTTGATGAAGCCATCCAGTTCTGTATATTATCAGTTGCTTAATACATGCCACTATTTAAAATGTTATTGATATTTTATATTCTAATAATGTTACATCTGACAGCAGTTTTCTTGCATCTGGAGAGATGGTATGTGGCTATTGTGGTTCTTTAATGATTTGGTATTAGAACTGGTTCTGGAATTCTTGGTTGCTGGCCTATACATATAATCTTTAGAAACTACCAAGGCTACTAAATATTTTAAATCTTTTGAGCAACAAATGAGTTTTGCATTTGTTAGAATATAGTCACATGGGTAATTCAAACAACAACTTTGAATAGATGCAAACTGAGCAAGCAACTTAAGCTAAATTTCCTGAGGATAATTTTCACTGACTAGGTTGTCCAACAAATTTATTAACTACAGTTTTGTACACATTCAAATAAAGAACATGATTTAATTTAAATGCATTTTGTTGACCATTTAACCCAGTCTAGAAAGATAATTATTCCACACATCCATTGACTTTTGTTGAAAACAGCTAAAATTGATCTCTGTTTTTATTTGTCTCTTGGGATCTGAAATTTCTGTTTTAAAGAGATTCTAAAAACATAGTATTTGGATTTTATAAAGAAGTACTTATAGCAAAGGTGGAGTAAGAATTCAAATCGCTGAGATTTTTTAAAAATTCACAAGATGATGACTATTAAATCTGTATCTAAATATTGTTTATCAGTGAAATTAGACTTTGGCACGACTACAAGATTTTCCATGGCAGATTTGAGTTTTATTGAAGAAGAAATGCTTGTAAAAATATGCACAAGTACATTATTCTTAAACATTTGTAAGCATAGATAAGAACTGAGGATGGAATTTGGTTTGTTTTGTTTGGATTACTTGAAAACGTATTTTATACATTACAGGTGAGAGATCTGTCTTTAAGAATTCCTCGGGTCATTGCTTTGAATTGAGTCAATGCTTTGAATTCAATAGCACTTAGAAGATATGTTCATTCTGGTTTTACCAAGACCTCATTCAGTGGCTCCTTCAGTAACCATATTATTAAGTAGCCCTGACTCTAAGGGAGAACAAATTAATTACTTAATGGAATAGCTCATAGTGTGGGAATCAATTAGCAGTGATATTTGATTATGCTAAATGAGCAAATACAAAGCACTATATTTTATGTTCTCTAACATTTTTACTGAAATATTTCCAAGTTAGTTTCTAAAATATATTAATTTTAGGGTGATAATACTATATTTAAGAAATTGGCCATTAAAAATGTTATCTTATAAAGCAGTATTTGAGCTCACCACTGTACTTTTTGTTTTTCGTTTAATTATAGAAACTTTTTTTCCCTAGAAAGACACTAGATGTACATTCAGAATAGTTTGTTTGAAGGTTGGTCCTGCTATCAATTAGATGTGTAACTTTGGGCAAGTCATATTAGCCTCATTTATTTCATCTAAAGATAGAAGAGATGGTAATTCTCAGAACTGTTACGATATTAAATGAGATAATATATATGAAAATCTGTTGCTATGAAGTGCTCTATAAATATAATGAGCATGATGATATGGTACCTAGTTTAATTGACATTTCATCTAATTAAGATAATTACTGTTTAGCAGCACTATCTCTAAATGCTGTTTAGCCACTGAAGATGAGTCATGTAGAAGAATGTGTCAGATGTTCTTTTTTTTTTAAATGCATGTTATGTATGTCTCGTCTATTTCTTTTCTATCCCTATAAGTACTCAAGATAAAAAGAGATTCTGCTAAGATATGGTGCTATTTTCCTGCTCTTAAATTATTAATGCACAGATTTTGTGTTATAGTAATGATTAATAATAGCCAACACACAAATAGTGCTAATTATGGACTATGTACAACTTCCATTATTATTATTTTGCATTATTAACCCAAGTAATCCTTCCAATAATGCTAGGAAGTGGGTGCTTTTATTACCACCAGTGTAAATGTGGCAAAACTGAGGTACAAGGAAATTAACTTGTCAAAGATTACATAGTGTTATCAGTTGAATTTAATTTTCTTAGATTTTCCTTCAACTGTTAGGGAAGAATTTGGCATAAATATTATACCAGGATAAAAGAAGTCATAAGCATTACTTGGGTCTTGGGTATAAAGGATGGTATCTCATCTAGGAAAAATGATATTGCCTATCTGCATGTTGGGATGACACAGAGATTGTTTATTTTCCTTTATTTTTTCTTTTTAATTTTCAGTGTCTATTACTGGACACATTATTGTTAATTTGCTAGGATTACCTCTCTCTTCTTAGCCTAAGGCATAGTAATGGAAAGCTGAACTTGTCCAAAAGGACCCAGTCATCTTAGTCCTGTGCTATGAATGAAATAATTGGATGAAAGAGCCCCAAATCTCCACCCAAAGAGATATTCCAGAGCTCATTCACTCTTTTTTCCAGACTTAGAATTTGTTTGACTTGGTTATACTGTACACAGTCATTCCTTAATTTAGGCATGTTTGCATTCATTTAAGCTACTAGCTTATTCATAAATTTAGCACATTTCATTGATCTCTCATGTGCCAGGGTAGTTATAGGGTGGTAGAAAGTAAGGTGGTGAATATTTCAGATACATGCCCTCTGCTTGCTGAGTTTAAAGTCAGGCAAGAGATTACAGACAATAAGAAAATCTTCTCACAAATGGAAATAACACAACTGCTCTACATAGTACTACAGAGAAGAGGTGCCCCAGGGATGGATAAGAGAAGGCATTTCGCAAATACTTGGTGTCATATTTTGTTTTCCATTGTCTGACTTTGGCCTTGTACAAGATGTCAGAGACTTAGGGAGGAAGGATAGAAGAAGGGCAAGTTAGGAAGAATGGATGGGAGCAGGGTGGACAAGGCTAAACATTACATAACCCAAGATGGTCCCAGGGAAAAGAGAAAAAGACAACCTAACTTGAGCAATGTAACATGTCTAAGTCCTTGAATATATTACTAGATCATAGAGGAATAAGTAATATTTTTTTATAACTACCACTTTTCAAGAAAAGTTATTGCATATTTATTCTATCCAACTCAGTAGAAGAGGGAGAAATACAATAAATTTAGAGTTTTCATTAATATGGTTAAAATATTTTATTGTTTGAAAGTTTATGTGGTAGTTTAATGGTAGTTTAAAGTATTGGATAAATGAGATTATTGCCTTCATTTACATAAATATGTTTTGAAAAATGAATACTTATTGCCAAAGCATCTCTAGATACAAAGATAGTAGACCTTTTAGTTTGTAGTTCCAATTGGTGGCCAGGCCCTGGCCAAATAAAAATTAAGAAGATCTGAACTGTTACCATTAGTGAAAATGGGATGGTAGCATTTTCACTGTATACCTCGGAAGGTACTTTTGAACAAATATTTGTTCAATTAATATTTATTGTGAAACTACCTTGTATACTGGAAATATAGTGTTGAACAAATGAGAAGATGATCTTAGACCTCATGGAACTTATACTTCAATGGGAGAGACCAACATTCATTTACTATGGGTCTTTATTTTTCTGTTTCCTTGACCTGCAATGCTTTTCCCTAGTGTGCTCATGGCATATGCCTTCGCTCCAGCTGGATCTCACTCAAATATCACCTCTTTGGAAAACCATTCACCTTCTCCAGCTGTTCATGTCATACTTTCTTTATGCCTTGCGTTACTTTTCTTCCCATATTTCCCTCCTTTTCTTCCCACCTTTTCTTCTTACTGTTCCCAGGGGGCTGTCATTTTGTTTTGTCCTGTTCTATTCTATTCTGTTTTGTTCTGTTCTGTTCCGTTCCATTCTGTTATGTTATCTTTAGGTCCAAGACCGAAGTGCCAGAATTCTTTATACAGAGACTTTGTTCTTCCTACTTATTGAGATATACTGTTTAGAGTAGTGTTTGACATGTATATAAAACAGACAATAAATATTTACTGAGTAAATGAGTAAATGAGATGATCACAGAAGTATATAATTATCAACTATGGTAAACAAACAAGGTAAGTGTAGATACTTTCAAAACTATAAATATTGCATATAAGCAAGATGGTGCTATTTATTTGAACTTTAGAAAAAAATGCAATCTTCTAGAAGGTAAGTTATTTATTTATTGATAACTTTCTATTTAAGCATTTATTTCCTATTGGTTTATCTTCCTTTCTGTGGTATATAAAATTGAGGTCTGCCTTTAAGGTTCTGGAATCCTCTCCTACCAGTTCAATTATTCTCTAGAGATTCTTAACCTGGGCCAATGACCCTTTGTAAAATTCATTTTTGGCTCCTGAAGCTTCAAGTACTCTTAGAAATGTATGCAGTGTGTAGAGGATCCTATGCATTTTACTGGAGAGAGTTCCCATAACTGTCATTGGATTCTCAAAGTATATGATCCCACTCCAAGTATAAGAATCATTGATATAAAAATTTTTCTTGCCGGGCTCGGTGGCTCAGCCTGTAATCCCACGCCTTTGGGAGGCTGAGGTGAGTGGATTGCCTGAGCCCCGCGGGTTCGAGACCCGCCTGGGCAGCGAGACCTCATCTCTACAATAAATAAAAAAAAAAATCAGCCGGGCGTGGTAGTGCATGCCTGTAATTCCGGCTACTTGGAAGGCTGAGGTGGAAGGATTGCCGGAGCCCAGCAGGTCGAGGCTGCGGTGGCCCGGAGCGGCCACTGCACTCCAGTCTGGGTGACAGAGTGAGACTCCAACTCAAAACAAAAACAAAAAAAAAAATTTTTTTTCTTTTTCTTTTACTTTTAATTTCTCTATTGGCATTTCTTGTTCTCCTCAAGATTTTTTTCCTTTTAATTTTCATGATTGTATTTTGATATTTTTAAATGCTTACTGTTTGTCCCCAGTGTGCGGTATTCTTGGTTTATTGTACACATCTGATCTCAGCCCTTCTCTCTGTCTCTCTTTTGTCTGGCCAGCAGTGTGGGGATGTGCCAACTGCAGGGTTGTCCTATCCAACCCTTCCGGGACCTTTACTTCTCCGTGCTACCCTAACGACTACCCTAATAGTCAAGCTTGCATGTGGACCCTCCGAGCCCCCACCGGCTACATCATTCAGATAACGTTTAATGACTTTGACATTGAAGAAGCTCCCAATTGCATTTATGACTCATTATCCCTTGATAATGGAGAGAGCCAGACTAAATTTTGTGGAGCAACTGCCAAAGGCCTATCATTTAATTCAAGTGCAAATGAGATGCATGTGTCCTTTTCAAGTGACTTTAGCATCCAGAAGAAAGGCTTCAATGCCAGCTACACCAGAGGTATGTAAACCAAAGACGATGCCAACCTTCTGCTTTCATTTAACATGTTCTACGATAAACACAAGGACCTGAAGACAGAGTTATGCTCTTTTATGTGTATGTGAATGATTAGGATTAGAAGTTAAGAGAATGGATCTGTTAATATTCTCTGAGCATTCTCATTAACAAAACATAACTACCAGATTCGAAATCTGGTTACAGTAGAGCTGAATTCTTTTATGTTTATATGCAGAACGTTTAGAGGCTGCCTGGAAGACACTGTAAACATTCTACTGCTAATAATTAAATGTGTAATTCTAACATCTCTTCACTGAAAATTAAAAACATACCTATTTAGAAATCATGTTATTTTGGACATTTAAGATGTTACCCTTTTAAGGAACTATGCTAGAGAACAAATATAGAAAATTAGCATGTAAATGTTTAAAAAGCTATTAATAGTTTAAACTAATCAATAACATAGTGAGGAAACCCCCAAAAATGGCTGATGGAAGGAAATAAAGCATATTTTTATTAAATATATTTTTCATATTGTGGCATAACATAACAGTGAAACAGTTTTATTAGCCAGGTATGGTGGTTCATGCCCATAATCCCAGCACTTTGGGATACTAAGGTGGGAGCATCACTTGAGGCCAGGAGTTCGGGACCAGCCTGGGCAAGAAAGTGAGACCTCATCTCTACAAAAATAAAAATTAAAAAAATTAGCAGTGTGTGTTGGTGAGTGGCTATAGTCCCAGCTCCCTGGGAGGCTGAGGCAGAAGTAGTGCTTGAGTCCAGCAGTTTGATCCTGCAGTGAGCTGTGAACCTGACACTGCAGGTTTTTTTTGTTTTTGTTTTTTTTGGGGGGGGGGTGTTATGTGTTATTTAGTTGTAAAAGCTGAGTTTTCATATCATGATTAACCCTTCAAGTTAACACATTCAAAGTGACTTAAATCTGAACCAACACTTAGAAAATATTAAGATTGTTATTTCCCTTCCAAATGATTGTTGAAAGATGGTCAATTTTAGGAGCTCAAGGAAAATTGCAAGAGTCAACAACAAAAAGTAGTGAGTAGGTAAAAAGAAGAGTTTGCATTGAAAAATGAGTAGAAATTCAGGCTTCTCCTGACATGACTGGTTATAATGTTTTTAGCAATTTGCAACAACACAATACAGTGTTTGATTCAATAAATAAATCAACAAATCATCTTACTCTTTCTAAAATTTTTGCTTAAGGAAATTCAAACTTTGGTATTACGAGCTTTAGTTATACTTTCTTTTTTTCTTCTGAGCTTCCTAAATAGATGTCATGTACAAAAACAAACAAGCGGCCAGGTGTGGTGGCTCACGCCCATAATCCCAACAGTTTGGGAGACCAAGGCAAGAGGATTGCCTGAGCCCAGGGGTTCCAGGCCAGCCTGGGAAAGTTAAGGAGACCTTATCTCAACAATAAATAAAAAAATTAGCCCAGTGTGGATGGCACATACCTGTAGTCTCAGCTACTTGGAAGACTGAGGCAGAAGGATTGCCTGAACCCAGCAGATTGAGGCTGTGGTGACCATGATTGTGCCACTGCACTCCAGCCTAGGCAACAGAGTGTGAGACTCTGACTCAAAAACGAATAATAAGTAAAAAATAAAAAAAAAGAAAGGTAAAACTAGGAAAATGGCTGACCATTATTTTAAATTGTGTTTTTGACTGTAGAGTTACTTACTGTTTGTGATTGCCATTAGGTAGGTGTGTGATAAAACAACACATGCTTAAATTTTTCAAAATAACGTTTTAAAGATTATAAAATGTGACTTTGGGAAATAAAAAAGAAGTAAGTTAGAATGACCTGCACATCTACCACCCAACCATAATCATTAATAAAATGTTGATAGATATATTTCCTTCCAGACTTTTCATTTTGGCAGTGCTCATAAAATACTGAGTTCATATTGAATAAGTATTCTTTTGCATAAATAGGCCTATAAACTGCTTAGTATTTTTAAAGTAGACTGAAATGCATGATTCTTAAATTGTATCAAGAATTTTTACTTGGTTAGTTATATTAAAATGATATTTTGTTATAGACTTATTCTTGGTGTACAACATATTAAAAATATATTCAAATTATCATTCATAGGAGACCATTATGAAATAGTATTTTTCAGGAGAACTGCTTCTTTCTCAAATCTGTTTCATAATGTCTGTTGTATTAGCACGTGACTAAATCAATTGTACTATTTAATAATTTCACATGAATCACAGAAGTATTACACAAATGCATTTTTATTTTGAATTTATTATGCATCTAATAATAGTAATCGCTTGCTGTTTATTGCTATGGTTCAGGCACTGCTCTAATGCTTTGTACATATCAATTTATTTAATTCTCAGAGATCAACTATGCACTAGGTGCCACTGTCTTTCATTTTGCAGATGAGGAGACTAAGGTAGAGAGAGGGGAAGTAACATACCCAGGGGCACATGGCCACTGCATGGGAGAGCTGAAGTAGGATGCTCTGTGGTTTGCCCTTTTAACCAGTGCTCCTTACTGGCCCTCAAAAACTAGCCCAGATGTAAAGAAACTACATCTTAAAACTTCATTTTTATTTGACTTTTCACTAGACTCCCTTATCCTCAATAGAATTAATTTTACATTTGTTCCTAAAATAGCCTGATGATAAGGGGAAAAATAGGATATAGAGTATCAGAAGGAGAGAGGGTAGCTTAGGAATGTTTGAGAAGAATGAAAGAAAATTGTTAATGAAAAATAGAACTATGAGTTATGTTTGGAAATTATTTGAAAAATCACATATTTTAAAAAATCTTCATGAACGGAGTCTTCCTGAAACCAGTTCTTTTCTTAATTAGGTAGTTGGTTGTTTTTCTTTTTAAGTTTTTAACTTCAGGATATAAAAAATACTTACCAACTTGGCTGGTTGTGACTCAAAGGTTTAGGTGTGAGATTAGAGTTGAAATGGGTAGTATTTCTTCTTCTTATTATTATTGGTATAAGTCAGTTGGTAATGGGTTGGTGACAGAAAATGGATGAGAAAGCGGGGGAAGATGGGGTACAAAATTACCTGGTAGAAACTGATGGAAGGCTTGAGTCTGTCAGACATTTTGCATCTCACTAGTCCATGATCTTGGAGTTAACATATTTTATCTCTGTTTTTATGTTTTGTCCTAGTGGCCGTATCCTTAAGGAATCAGAAGGTCATTCTACCCCAAACGCTGGATGCTTATCAGGTATCTGTTGCAAAAAGTGTCTCCATTCCAGAGCTCAGTGCTTTTACACTCTGCTTTGAAGCGACCAAAGTTAGCTATGAAGACAGTGACTGGACAGCCTTCACCTACTCAAATGCATCCTTCACACAGTTGCTTAGTTTTGGAAAGGCCAAGAATGGCTATTTTCTATTTATTTCTGGTTCAAGATGCTTGCTGAACAGTGCATTACCTGTCAAGGAAAAAGAAGACATTTTTGCAGAAAACTTTGAGCAGCTCTGCGTGGTTTGGAATAATTCTTTGGGTTCTGTTGGTATAAATTTCAAAAGAAACTATGAAACAGTTCCATGTGATTCTACCATTAGTAAAGTTATTCCTGGGAATGGGAAATTGTTGTTGGGCTCCAATCAAAATGAAATCGCCTCTCTAAAAGGAGACATTTATAACTTTCGCCTTTGGAATTTTACCATGAATTCCAAAATCCTCTCCAACCTCAGCTGCAACGTGAAAGGGAATGTGGTTGATTGGCAAAATGACTTTTGGAATATCCCAACCCTGGCTCTGAAAGCTGAAAGCAACCTAAGTTGTGGTGAGTCTGTGGCATATTTGCTTTTTTTTTTTTTTTAAAGCATTGTTCTAGGAATATGTTTTTCAATAAGAAATGATACGTATATACATGTGTCTGTGCAATATATGTATATATATATATCAATTATATAGCATACGTATATTATTGCCTTAATAAAAGAGCTGTTTTAATTTTTAAAATGTTACCTGCTCAGCTGATATAGCACATTTAATTACAGGCCATGCATATTGAATCAAAGCATATGGTGCTTTAGCCATTCTTATATCTTCCCTATATCATAAAATATCACACAGTTATCACTAATATAGCAACAGTTGTAATTATTGAGTCTCAAGTAGAAGTGTTAACACTACATTCTTTTTATTTAAAAAAAAATTAGTAACTTATGGTTTTCAATCTCAAAGGTGATATAGTATTAAGCAGATATTTATCATCTTGGAATGAAATTTCAATTAGATTCCTTAAATAAACAACCATCACCTAAGAGGATAGTATTTACTCACCCAATTTTAAATATCAAAGCTGTCCATTTTATGGAAAATCTTGAATTATCAATTTTTCTTTGAAATTTTTTCATTTGTTTAAAAATAAGCATTTGTAGTTTGTTTCAAATACTCTTCTGTCGTTCCTCTTCAAGAGACTACAAATGTGCTATTATTGGAAGTAGCTAAATGCAAAATATTTTGGGAGATAACTCCATGTAACAAAATCTGTATTAAGATAGACCTCCATCAAATATTCTCTATGTACATAAGTTAATTCTAGAAGTCCTTGTCATCCTGTAGGGTTGATTCAAACACAAAAAGAAATTTCATTAACAGTTTTAAATGTCACATGACTAAGTCTAAGGCAGTGATAATATATACTTTTTAGTCACAGAATTTATTCTCAGTAAAAAGTAGGAGAAAGTCTAATATTCAAAGATAATTTGTATATTACTTTGGAGGGAAGTTTATCAGGAATTCATTCCAGTACTTTGAACAAAGTAAAACCCACTGTGGTAGCCCACGTCTACCTCCCCAGTTTCTCAGACCTGACCTGTGCCTGTCCTTCCAGCCTGGAGAACTCCTGTCACCCACCTCTCTGTGTTGCCTATGGTATTCCTGAAGTTGGCAGGAAGGCTACTGAGTGATGTAATGTGAGAGGTATTTCCTTGTTGGTTGTTGGAAACAGGGCGAACCACAACCTGTTCCAGAAGTAGACTGTGGAACCTTATAAGCTAGTGGTGTTCCCCAAGATCCTCTCAGTCTAAGATTAGTTAGAGAAGACCTTCTGGGACTCCTGAGAAGTCTTTCACTCAGAGGAGAAATTGAAAAGGTCAAGTGTGCATGTTTGATGTGGGGCAGTGAAGAGACGAGGAGAGGGAATGGTGTACTTCCTACATTCTGAGTGACTGCCTTTAATTCAGGGGCTCTTTTCACCACATACTTGGCCATTATTAAAAACTCACAATATAGACCATTCCAATATTTGCCTTTTCATGGGACAATATTTTGAGGACCACAGCCACCAAAACAAATTTGGCTTGGTATATTAATAGCTGCTAATACTTAAATTATATTTAAATTGAATACATACTATGTACTAGCTGCCATTTGAAGCACTTTACACATACTAACTCATTTCCTACTTCATAAATCCCACATTGTGGGTTCTATTATTGACCCTATTTTACAAATGAGGCGTCTGAGGCACAAGGAAATTAAATAACTTATCCGATGTCACTTAATTAGTAGTGGCCAAGCTAGGATTTGAATCCGGAAAGTTTGGTTTTACAGCAGTGCTTTCCTAACCAGTATAAATTAGACTTATTCCCTTATAAGTCATAGGCAGGATTAGAATATGTGACTTAGTACTAGAGTTAGCGAGTTTATTTTTGCCCATTGGAAGAGTGTGAAAGTCCAAGAACCATCTCTTCTGGCCAGCAGTGCATTCTGTGGGAAAACACTAGCTTTACAGGGTGTTAACACAGTTTGTTTTAAACAAATTTAATAAGATTTCTTTTCTGCAGTGCTTCTTGGATATCCTACTGTGAAAAAAATATGAGGAATATAGTTTTTACAGGGATTCCTAAACTTCTCAAAGGAATTCTCTAGACCAGAGGTTGGCAAACTAGCAGGGCCTATGGCAGGCCACTTGTATTTTTATAATTCTCTCTTTTTTAAGAGACCAGGTCTCACTGTGTTACCCAGGCTAGCCTTGAACTCCTGGTCTCAAGCAATTCTTTTGTCTCAACTTCCCAAGTAGTTGAGACTACCACCATGTGCCACTGCACCTGGCTCACTTGTTTTTGTAAATGAAGTTTTACTGGAACACAGCCATGCCCATTAGTTTATGTATTGTCTGTGACTGCCTCTGTGCTACCATGACTGATTTGACTGGTTGTGATAGATACAGCATGGCCTACCATCCTAAAATATTTACTGCCTAGCCTTTTAAGAAAACATTTTCCAACCCCTGAAATTAGTCCAAAGAATCTTAAAAGGGCCCACTTTACTGAAGCACATACTTTGGACAACACTGTAAAAGACCTACTGGGTCTTCTTGGGTAGAGGAAACAAACAGTTAGCCACAGGCTATTTTAGCTCTTAGAAGTGGATGTATTTGCTCTTATTCATTTACATTTTTTTCCACACAATGCTTGTAAATGATGAATTATTTCCAGCATTTAAACATTAGATTTCACATAGAAAGAATTTTTGGATTCTTCTGGCAAACAAAATACTAACACTAGCCTAGTATTTCTGCATGGCCAACCCAGCAAGAACTAACAGGTGGCTGCTCCTTTCAAAGAGGCTTGCCTCGTACACTTCAACCTATAGCACCCTCCATATTCTTCCCACCCCTTCCCCCTTTTCATATGTAGATTTCCTTCTAGCCCCCTTTGGCATACATTTGGGAATCTCAATGTCGGCCACTCCCTTAACTTTACACAGTGTGGGAAACTGAAAGTTTGAAAAACTTGGCTGAGTATAATAGCTCACTCCTGTAATCCCAGCATTTTGGGATGCTGAAATGGGAGTTGTTTGAGCCCAGGAGTTGAAGACCAGTCTGGGCAACATAGCAAGAGGTCGTCTCTACAAAATTTTTTTTTAAAAATTGAGTTGGGCATAGTGGTACATGCCTGTAGTCCCAGCTATTTGGGAGGCTGAGGTGGAAGAATCACCTGAGCCTTGGAGACTTTGGCGGTGGTGAGCTGTGATCATGCCACTGCAATTCAGCCAGGGCAACAGAGTGAAACTATGTCTCAAAAAAAAAAAAAAAAAAAGAAAAGAAAAGATAGAAGAAGTGTCTCAGGCAGTTGGTGACTAAAACACATGTCTTCTCTCTCCTTGTCCAGTATTTATATCTAGGAGACCTCATATTTGTAAAAATATTATTTATTTGTAAATTACTTTAGTTGACTGACAAAAATGATAAGTATTTAAGGTGTACAACATAATGTTTTGATCAATGTATATGTTTAGAAATAACTAATTAGGGCTAATTAACATTCATTATCTCATGTTCTTATTTATGTGTAGGGAGAACATTTAAAATCTACTCTCTTAGCTCTCTTTGCAATGTTCAAGCATACTGTCATCATTATTAACTATAGTCACCATATCATACAATTGATCTCCTGAAGTTTTTCCTAACTGAAGTTCTGTATCCCTCCACCCCTAGCCTCTGGTAACTATCTTTGCTTCCATGAGTTTGGCTCTTTTAGATACATAAGTGATATAAGTGAGATCTCGCAGTTCTCATAATTTCATAAACACTGTCTTTGAGATTCCTTTCTCAAGCCTTAAGATTACTGGAGTGTATCAAATACATACTCATGTACCTTAGTCATCTATAAGTTTTAAAATGATTTCATCAAGGGAGTAGCACAAGCTTACAGAGTCAATACATTTGAGTCTCTTTAAATTTTACGGTGATCTGCTTGACATTCCAAGATGATGTGAAACACTCTCATTCCGGACATTCAGATGTCCTGGATTGTGTTTCAGGAGTAATGATGGGAGAAGAAATTTCCTGCAGCTTAATCATCAGCTTTGGGAGTTGAAGAACCAGAGTCACTCATTAACTGACAGGAAATACCTGTAACAGAGATTATATCAAGGCTTGTTAGTTAAGCAAAACTTCAACAAGTAAAAAGACGTATTCTCTATTAATATTTTAACCTTTCACTTTTTTTTCCTGGAAAACATTGTGGCTTGCTGTTTATTGTTATCGTAATTTCCAATTAACTAATGATTAGTACAGTAACCAATGGGAAAATGGAATTTCATTCCTAGCATTCCGTTGGACTGACAATGTCTGTTAAATGTGAGCTTTTCTTTCAGGATCAACTTGCAATGGAAAATGAGTAGCTTTCCCAGAAGCGTATTGCCAAGTAAATGCTAATATTAAAGTCAGATAGTAGAAAAGAACTGATTACATTGACCGTTAAAATGTCCTGTCATTCGTTTCACATATTAAACATCCTAGCCTTAATAAAATCAATATGATATTAATAAATTTTAACAATTTTGGAATTGGACCTTTTTTTGTTTTATTATGTTTTTCTAAAGCATATTTGGAGAATGTGCCTTAATTAAGTAATTTTCAGCAGATTATTTTTTAAATATGGTTAATCTTTTTTTTTTTTTTTTTTTGAGTTGGAGTGTTACTCTGTCACCCGGACTGAAGTGCAGTGGCCATTCCCGGCCACCGCAGCCTCGAGCTGCAGGACTCCAGCAATCCTTCCACCTCAGCCTTCCCAGTAGCCGGAATTACAGGCATGCGCTACCACACCCAGCTGATTTTTTGATTTATTGTAGAGATGAAGTCTCGCTGCCCAGGCGGGTCTCGAACCCGCGGGCTCAGGCAATCTACTCACCTCAGCCTCCCAAAGGCGCAGGATTACAGGCTGAGCCACCAAGCCCGGCTCAAACATGGTTAATCTTGTCAGTGCTTTCCAGAAGGAAATGCTTTATTTAGCAATAATTATTTTTCATTTTATAACATTTAATTTTTCTTAGAACAGTTTTATTAAACATTCAGCTTTATGACTTCCATGGGTAGATAATTTCTTAACCCGTTGACTCTTTTTTTGTAGGTATATTTGCCTGTGTTGTGATTCAAGTTTAGTTACTGGCTAATGTCCATCAATTTCACAAAGAACAGACAGTGCCTTCTCCACAAGTTTTATTTATTTTACTGATTACTGCTCTTTCCTGAGGAGTGGTACAGTACAATTCAATGAATGGTCTAAGTTCAAACAAATTAAACTTATTTACATTTATTAAGCACTTCCATCTGTTCGCCACTGTGGATATAGAGATAAGACACATTCTTAAGTACCCAACTTTGTTATTGTTTTCTAGAAATTTCTGGATTTGCACTTTGTTTTCATCTCCAGAATTTTGCACCTAGTTGTTATGACTTCTTTAATGCTTGAATTCTTACCTTTTCATAATTATTACAATTCTGTTCTTCACAGATGTAAAACTAATTCATTATTGGTTTCTCCTTGCCACTCCCTAAAAATATTGAATTCAGCATTTTTAGAGTACTAAGTCATTTTTAAATAATAAAATTAAGATAAGATCACTTTATATTTACAAAGGATACTCAAACTCTTTGTGAGCCCAGATGACTTCCAGAAATAATTTTCTTTTAAGTATTAGTTATGAAAAGCTGTTAAGTTCATCTAACAACTGCAATGAGAAAAATGAAAGTAATTATTGTTCTTTTTCTGTCATTGCAACTTCCTGTGAGGATTTACTCTATTTACTCTACTGTTATTTGAATTATCATTAAGTTGGTGTGAGATGAGCCATTGGTTGCACATCCATCTTTTTTTAAAACCACAACTTGTGTAAATATATAGTGACTACTTTCAGTAGCATGATTTTGAAAGAACAACAGATAGAGAAAAAAGATAAACAGCTTTATAGGGTTTTCATCAACTGCCCATTTTTAGTGATAACATTAAAAAAAAGAAGAAACTTGGCTCAAATTTTGCCGTTAATATAAACATCTTAAAACACCTTTATGGTAGCATCAAAAATAAATGAGGACATTGTAAAAACAATTTTAAAACACATTCTAAAACAATTTGTGGATGATAAATATACCACGATCCAGGAGAGTGGATTGTGTTTTCTTCCTTTTTCTGGTTTGTAAATCCATCAGCCTTAGGAAAACTGATTGTGGTGTTGACTTTAAATGCAGATAACCTGAAAGTGGAACTGGGTAGAAATGAAGTTTGCGTACACTTTATATGTTTCATATGTTTGTTTATGTAATTTGGTGTATTTGTAATGTAATATTTCACTTGGCAATTTAATTTCCCTCTAATTAAATTAAGTTTGTTACTTGTGTTTATGCAATTTTCACCAAAACAATCTTTAAATTTCATTTCTATTGCTATATTGGATTATCATAAAATAGTTTATTGAGTATTTATCAAGTAGTGCCAATTAACTAAACTAGAAGTTCCCTAGAAGAAACAATTAATTAAAATATTGAGACATGAATGTTACAATTTCTGATGAAAGGATATCACATATTGAAATTATATTGTTACCACACAGTGAAACTGGTGAAATATCCAAGAAAATTGTTAAATATCTTGCTCTGAATCATAGCTTTTCTGATTTTCTTTCCTTATTGTCACCTCTAAGCTCTTTAACATACTATAATGGAAATGTAGATAGCTTAAAAACTTCTTTCCCACAACACTGTGCTCTTATCTCCCTTTGTCTTCCAGAGAAATTGTATCAGTGCCAGAAGTGGCCTAAGGAGCCCCTGACTGCCAACATTCTGTGTAATTTGAGAATCACAAGGCATCCATCCAGGGTTTCCTCAGTTGCATGTTAAGGTGGCTGAGAGTTCATCTGTCACTTTGAGCTTTAAAGACTTAAATTTTCAGAAGTCCCTTACTAAAATATAAGAACCTATGGGAGAAGTGAAGTTCTGCAAAAAGTGAGCATACATTAAATGTGATTGGAAGGAATAATGGGCAGGAAGCATTCAAGATAAAATTCTGCCCCAGTCCTGCCTTAACTTCTTCCTCCTCAAATATTCTTTTTTCCATAATACATACACTGGTTTAAGTTTTCAATCTTTAACACTCCACCTTCCTTTCTCTGCTTCCTTTCATAGCCAGTCTTCCTCTTCTTGCATTCACTCCTCAAACCTTGGCAGCCTAGATTTTCTCGTTCCCACACAACTGAAACTAGTTTCTATAGAGCTACTACTAAAATCCCAGTACAGTGTTAAATATCTTCTCAGTTTTTATGTGTCTTGGCTTTTCTGGTATAGTTTGTTGCCATACCTTCCATTAAACTTACTTCTTTTGAATTCTATAAAACCATCTTCTATAAAAGTTGTTTGTACCTTCTTAAGTCTATAGCTCTTTTTCTTATATCTGATACTTAAATGTAGGAATATCTGTGGTTTCATGCTAGTCTCTTCTCAAATCTGCAGTCTAGCTCCAGTGATCACAGATCTTCTGTATCTTCTGTTGAATATTTCCTGGCTAGACTTCCTTCAAAAACACAGAATGCCATGTATCTAGATGTCATACAGGCACCTCAGTTTCCTTTACTGGGTTTAGTGTTTATCCCACCCCACCTAAATTGCTCTTCTCGTATTTCCTAGCTTCTTTTATTAGATCATTATGTACCAGTTTCTCACTTTTGAAACCAGCAAAATGTTTTCTATTCTCATCTATCTTTTCCTGTCTCCAGTTAGTCACCAAGCCCTATACATCCTACCTTTAAATTTCCTGTATCCTTCTCTTACTGCCCATCCTTATTACACCATGATATAAAGCCTGAACTATTAGTATTCTTCTTGTATCTCTTCTTTTGATTGTAGAACCTCAAATATGATTTTTTTCAAATGTAAATCTAATTTTCTCTCCTAGCTCCCCTTATTTCCCCCCCCCCCACTGCCTTTAAGAAAGAGTTCAAAATGTTGGTAGTCATTCATAATGTGTTTAGTTATGTATTCAGTAAAGCTTGAGTGCCCACCTATTGTTTATGGAATTTACCACACAAGGTCTGGCGCTCATGATATTTACATTCTATAAGGCCTTCCAGAAGCTACTCATTACTTATATATCTAATCATCCCTACTGGTTTTTTACAGTTACCCTACTCCTGTAATGCCAAGTGAGTTGAGTTCCTAGAACTTTTCAGTGCCTCCTTGACATATGTTTCAGAAATTGTTTGCCAGTAGTATCCAGCTCTACTCCCTTGTCCCCAGCTCTCCTACAACCTTGTATGCTCCACAGGACCTCCTTCTTTGTAATGGATTTGCTGTTCACTCTACTCACCACACTACTGTCACATCCTCCTTTGGGCCACTACCACCTTCGAAGTACTTCTTTTATAGCACTTAGAACTGTGAAGCCTTCTCCCATTCATGCCTCTTTGAGAGCAGTGACATTGCTTAAAACATCATTTAATGTGGCTCACATAATGGAAGTAATGAGTAAATGTTTGTTGAGTGAATGTATGTAAAGGTCTATGAAGAGAGCTTCTTCCCAGTTGATGTCGTGTCATAGTCCTGCCAGTAGGGTTGGGCCTTTCTGAGGCATCATGATTCCTTCCTTGGGCCAGGTGCCTGAGGCAATCAAGAATGAAGAAACCATGTCTCTTGAGATGCTGTTAAACTGTCAGGAAGTGTTCTGCTTATGTACACCACACACCATTTACCTGTAATAATTAGACACCTTTTGTTAGCTTATGCACCTGGTCTGCCTTCACGTATAATTCCCATTGGAAAGTTTGGAAAATGTTTAAGTGTTAGAATAAAATCACTACTATATAAATATCCCTTAAAATTAAATATATAGTGTGTAATATATATATATATATGTGCCTATATGTATATACTTGTGTACACACACACAAATATATATTACATGTATTTATATTTATTATGTTTTTGTTCATGGTGTGATATGCTTTGTAATAGGTTTAGCTTGTATCTCCCGGCTTCAACCTGTTAATAAAAAAATCTATTAGTTGTCAGAGGGAGACTCACTGCAACAGAGAAAATACACTACTTCTACTAGAAAATCAACTCAAAACTTATTTCCTGCTGAGGATGTAAAAGTAAAAACTTGAAATAAAAGACACAGAGACTGAACTGAAGTCATAGAAACATATTTCTGGAATTACAGACAGTATTCTAGTGCTTATGAACCAAAAATATGTATTTTGTGAGTAACTCATCAAATAGTTCACTTTTGAAACTTATTCTTGGTATTTATATTATTTCATTTTTGTGACTTTCTACCAGAGCCCTATAATTTATTATACAAAAAGCCCCTGAACTTTTTGCATAAACTTTAAGGGGCAATCACACTTCTCTTCATTTCAAGTGTAGATGGCTGATAAATTAAGTTAACATTTTTTAGAGCAATTTATACCTTGATTTTATGTTTGAGAAAATTAAGGCTCAGTGAACTAAAGATTACTTACTTAATGTTGGAGATTTGCTAGAGAACTTTTCTAAGTTTGTTCCCATTACACCAACCATAGGATTCCTGATATTTCTTTTTCTAGATAATATCATTCAATCATTTAATATTTAATATCTAACATTTAATATCTAATCTAGCATTTAATATTTAATATCATTAAATCACATATCAAACTTGTATATTCTCTCTGTATTCATCAAGGCTCCTACCTGATCCCACTTCCAGCAGCAGAACTAGCCAACTGTGCAGATCTGGGGACCCTCTGTCAAGGTAGGGAACCGACGCCATCCTTCGGAGTCTCTCTGCTTCCTACTTGTTATTTTGGATAATGTAGTTGCCATTGTTTTGATTTTTAATCTTAATTTTCACTGGGAAAGCCAGAAAACAGCAAAACAGAAGAATTTCTGGATGTGTTTTAGTTGTGTGGGTGCACAGTATGGAGAAAGAATGTATTCCTACACTGGGTGACCACATTACCATAATATACTGAGAAATATGAATGATTATATGCTTAATAAGGATTGATGGTCAGGCGCGGTGTCTCATCCTATAATCTCAGCACTTTGGGAGGCCAGGATGAGAGAACTGCCTGAGCCCACAGGCTTGAGACCAGCCTGGGCAACTTGGCGAGACCTCATCTGTACAATAAATCAAAAAATTAACCGGTCAGGGTGGTACACGCTTGTAGTTCCACCTACTTGGAAGACCGAGGCAGAAGGTTCGCCTGAGCCCAGCAGGTTGAGACTGCGGTGGCTGTGAGCATGCCACTGCACTCCAGCTTGGGTGACAGAGTGAGACTCCGACTCAAAATAAATTAAAAAAATAAGAATTGATTTCATTTTCCCTCCATTTCTTCTCAATATTGCAAAGATCCAGTATAAATATAGTGGTATGATATTTTGAAAAAGTATTCACATCTATAAAACAAGAGGAAATTAGGTTGAATTTCAACTAAGTTTAAAACGAGACCCATGACACAATTTGTGATGTGCAATATAACGTCAATCTTAAGATAAAAATGGCTATACTAAACTAATGTTAATGTACCTATGTTAATTATTATGATGCTTGATATCTATATAGTGGTCAGTGTTCTAACTATACATTATGTTCCAACTAGTTGCATGCTAAATAATTCATAATTAAGTTATGCAAGTTAAAAAATAGTGTAAACATTTTGCCTTAATTTTATCATTGTACCTCCTAATGACCCATGACCCCTATTAATCTATTTATTCTATTAAATACTTCTAAATGAAGTAGCATGCTCTATGTACCTCATTAAGAATCACAGCCATGCCTGTTGTAAAAGCTGGGACTCTTATTAAGAGGATCGCAGCACAAAGGTGACTGGGTTTAGAAACGAGACTAAACAAATAGAAACCTAAGCTCTCTTCTGTGGTTCCAAGTGTGGAAATAGGGTAGGCAGAGGCAGGGGGATAACTCATTATCTTTGTTTTCCTTTTGGAGGCATTATTTCTCTCTCGATACTATTGATCAACATCCTGTGAAAATTAAGTCATTAAGTAGTTTCTTTTTATGAACTCAGTATAGTTTTAAAACCGTTGTGTGAAATATACTAAAATACCTTATTTTGGTTAGTTCAAGATTTGAAGGGTTTTAAAAGTTTTTTAATTATTATTTTTTAAATCTTCAAATCTGAAATGTCTGTAGTACTTATTCTTTGGATCAAAGGACCAGATACCAAGGCTTTTCTTTGTTTTTCTCATTATGTCCTAAATGACCAAATAGCATGTTTATGCTGTATTTTGCATTAAGATAAGCATAATTGATCATAATAAAAAATAAAACTGCACAAAGAATTTTCATTCTTAAGTATTATACATTACTTTGGAATGAAAAATTATCTTAAAAATGCACATTTTGAATTAAGGTTCTCAATATTTTATAAAGAGCCTTTAGAAGTTAATTCTCTGCGTAATCATTTGAATAGTTAAATGTTTTAAATTTAGATAATTTTTCAAATTATGAGAGATATATAACAAATGTTCATTGTGCATGTGAGTATACATCTAATACAAATGTACACATAAGATAAATAGTTTCTCTAGAATCCCTTAGAAAGCTATTAAAGCATGCACAAGGGTTTAATCTTTGAGAGCTTTGTTAGTATCAGATGTACAGCTGTGACATAATGCTTTGTCAATGTTTCCCATGTAAAGCTTGCCCTGTGAAATACTTTTTAATCCATCAATGTTTTGTAGAGTTATTGGATCTTCAGATGATTGATTTAGTCTGTACACTCTTTTCCCCCCCATTTTCCTTCCCATTTATCTTTTCAAGAAGAGAAACACTGTATTCTGAAATTTTATGTCTATAGACTCAGTATTCTAGGCAGACTTAGTTTAGATAACTTTCAAGCTGTAGATTTTTGTACAGACTGACTTCCATAACTTTTTGTTACAAACTCAGGAAATAGCTCTAAAAATGTTAGAATTTGTTGTGTGATTTCAGCCTGTTAATGGAGATGCAGGTGTAGAATCTAGAATCTAGAATCTACAGGTCCTTTCTCCAGTCACTTTGTGCCAGCTCCAGACCCTTGTGGAATATGACACCAAAGGTCATGTGAACTAATTCTTAATGCGCCATAGAGAACATTGCTTCATTTTATGCATTATAACCTTAGAGTCTGTTATATTTAGTGGCAAAAAATGGTTTCCATTCTTTCTTTATATTTTTTCACGCATTAATTATATATTGCTTATCCATATTAACTATCATATGCTTCTTACAAAATTACATCTTTCTCATCTTTATTACCAGCAACTGTAAACTCTTCTGTTACCACTAACATGCCTGTTACTAACAGAATCGATAAACAAATGAATGGTAAGAAATCATTACCTTTTATGTTTTTAGTATGTCTGACATAAAAAGTCATATTCTAAGGGTAGAAATATGTAATATTCTAACACAGTTTCTGTTATTGGAGTCAAAGTTCTGTTATTGGTACATTTGTATGTTTGTAAGACGAGTCAAATAAATTAATACCACTTAACTCTCTTGAGTTCCCATTCTTATAACCAGTGGATGAGTACATTTCTAGTACTCCTCTTCTGCACTTTTAACTAAAGTTTATTTCAAATGAAGTTTTAGGAGAAAGACATTTAATTTAAAATAATTTATTTGCATTATAATAGAGATCTGAGAAAAAAATTCCTATTCTTTCCAAGGAATTTGGTCAAATTTTTTTTCTAGAAAACTAGTTATTAAAGGATTCTATACATTTCAAAAAACTAAGTAATTTTAATAATTTTTTGCTGAATTGAGTTTATGTTCATGTATTTGTGACATTTAAATCAATTTGCTTTCTGTTTTTATTTGTTGAAGAATAATGCTTATAGTGTGATTATATACCAACTAAGTCAAATTGATCTTTGAATGACAAAAATTAAAGTCACTTCCAATACTTCTTGCTTTTTTCCTCCATATATACTTTTCTGTTTTATTGTCTATAATTTTCAAATACCACAGTTATATAAGTTATGAGTGGAGGAAAATCCAGGTGAGTTATTTAATATGCTACCTCTGTGGCCAAATACATAGCATTTTGGTAATTCAGAGTTAATGATTTCAGTTTCTTCTAACAAAGAGAAATTCCAATCAGGTGACTGCACTATTGCTTTGAATATAGTAATCTCAAATATGAGATATTTGAAACAAAGAAATTTTCTAAACCCCAATCATTTAGCTCGTAGGCCCAAGAAATCTGCAATATATCACCAGGGACTCAAAATTCAGAAAAAAGAAAACCATATAAGTTCATTTTTTCTTTTGCCTTCAGGGGTTACATCAACTTCCTCTGTAAGGACATTTAAATTGGAAGTATGGAATATTTTATATGAAACGTAGATATAAATTTCTTTAGGGTTATAAAGACATCGATTCAGGGAAGTGTTTATGGTTATTCTGGTAGTTACACCAAGGAGATTTATGATGGAGCAGAAATTCCAGCAACCCCCAAGAAAGCAACAGCAGCTGAAGTTTCCAGTGCATATTTCACATGGACTCCAGCCAGTAGATGGGAATATTATAATTCTAACTAAGTATTTTACTCTTTGTATGAACATACAAAGAGCCTCTGTGGCATTCTCCCTCCAGGATTGGCACATCCTCTACTACCCAAGAACATTTATATGAGGCTTCTGGGTCCTTGACTTGGTGTAGTGGAGCTGTATTCAGTCAATCATGTCATTTCTGACATTCTTGAAGAAAGCCTTGTTCAGTCCATCCCTCTCTGCGTCATAACCTACACTGAAGTTTCAACAAAGCAAGCAAATGTTAGAATCAGTTAAAATGTTTTATCTTGCCCACGTTAATGAAACAAAACTAATTCAGATGATTCTTTATCAAAATGTAATACTAGCATTCAAGAATATTCAAAAGTAATTATGTGCTAGAAGTATTCTCAAAATTGCTCATTCAGATTTCTCCATCTTAATAATTGTTACCATATCCTTGAACCATCCATACTATTTATTTGATAGGTTTTTCTTAAATTTACTAACTTTTTAACTTAAATATTTATATTTACGTGGGAAAATTGATTGCACTATTGTAAAATGAAACAGTGCTACTTGTTACAAAACAGATGTGAAAAGTAAAAGTGAATATAATGTAAACAATGTTTTTGAATTCTGCTATATCCTATTACCTTCTCACATTTCAGAGTCTAAGCCTTCATTATCTTTTAAAAGGAAGAGTAACAAATTATTGGAGACAAAATATAAAGATTTTTTAGTTTGATAAATCAAATTTAAAATAATTGAAAAGTTAATTACTTTTTTACCTTATTAATAAATGTTCTTTAATGTTGTGTCCTGGACAGTCTAACTAAGATCATTCATACACTATCAGCCATTTCCTATTCTTTGGGAAACTGATACAGTAAACATTCTCAGCCTTGTATTCTAATATATAAGAGAATTCCATTTTTGTTTACTGCAAGAAAGACAGGCACAGCTGTCAAGTCTGTTATCTACTTTACCGAATCCTTTTTAGCACTGGTCTATCAGAGTTTTACTGAGTTGATAGGTTCTTGGAAACAGTGACTTTAAGTGAAAGGACTTCTAATGAAGCCAGTTTTACCATAGGCTAAGTGATATAAACAAGAGTTCCTGTGGCATACTTCTGGTAACAAAAACTTCACCAAACTTCTAAATAAAGACACACCCGAAACAATCACAGATATGGTGTGCTCACTGAGTCACTGAGCGCTGTTGGAATGCACTGTTTATTGTTGTGCATTTGTATGATTATTGCAGACTTTATGAATTCTTTCTACAATAATGTATATTCACTTGTTCATTCACTTTCCAAGCTGCTTATTCCAGTTCCAGACTGTGGGTGGCCAGAGCCCAGCCCAACAGCTCAGGGCAGAAGAGGGGCACCAGCCCTGGCCAAGACACCACCCAACAGCTGGACGCACACACACATCCACACTTGCTCTCACTAGGACCACTAAACACTCCAATAACTGAATATGCACAGCTCTGGGATTTGGGAAGACCTGGAGAGGACCCACTAGACATGAGGAGAACGTGTTGACTCCTTACAGACAGGAGCCCTGGCCAGGATTGATTTTGTTCCTCATCAACTTTATAACAAAATGATGTTGAATGACATGATGTCATTGAAACACCTGCTTATATACTAAGAAAGTCTATAAAACTACTTTTCACAAACAGATGTTTCAGAATATTGATGATCTAGATATTCCCACAAATAATAAACCTTTTCCATTACATTCCCAAGAAAAGCTCTTGGAGTAATTATGATTTCCATTCCAAATCATATCTTCTCTGCTTGAAATATCACTCTAGTGCTACTGAATAGCAAACTTCTGTGAGGTTGGTTCAAGCACCTTAAGTGAAATATTAACTCCATTAGTCTTTATTATTGTTTTTAAAATCTAACTTACAGGTAAGCACAAATTGTAATACTGTTTCCAGCTTCTCACAAAAGTTTAACAATTCATATAACAAACTTCCTCTTAGATTATTTGAATGGATCCATCACCTTAACTTTCAATGCCAGATATCTTAAAAAGAAATTATGTTTATGGTTCTGTAGGATGTCAGTAATATTGTAAATGCCACTGTCATATTATAATTGCCTCTGCACCAGTTCAAAGAAATGATTGTGGCTCTAAATTAGTATTTGGTTGGTATGGAGACTGCTCAAAGAACTAAAAGTAGATCTCCCATTCAATCCAGCCACCCCATTACTAGGTATCTACCCAAAGGAACAGAGGCTATTATACAAAAAAAAAGACAACTCTACTCACATGTTCATCACAGCACCATTCATAATTACAAAAATGTGGAATCAACCTAAATGTCTATTTACTGATCAAGATAATTACAATATTATATATGTAAATATACGTACTCCATGGAATACTATCAGCCATTAAAAAGAAGGAAATAATGCCCTTTGCAGTAACTTGAATGGAATTAGAGAACATCATTCTAAGTGTTTTAGGTCTTTAACTAGTGGTATCTTTTCAGATACTCTACTAACATCAGTGTATAGATGCTTCTTGACTTAAGATGGGGTTAAATCCAGCATAAGTTGAAACTACCATAGGAAAAAAACAACATAGGAACAGAAAACCACACACCGCATCTTCTCACTGATAAGTGGGAGCTAAACTAAGTATCTGCAAAGGCATATAGAAAGGTATAATGGACATTGCAGACTCAAAGGGGGAGGGTGGGATGGGGTGGAGGGATGAAAAGTGACTTATTGGGTACAATGTGTACAGGGGGGGTATATGTACACGTCAAGCCCAGACTTCTTGGCTACTATGCAATGCATCCATGTAACCAAAAACAATTTGTACCCCCTAAAACTATTACAATAGAAAATAAATCAGCACTTGGTTTTTATTTTTACATCTATCTTTTCAAATATGTATTTTAAATCTATTATTTCGAACATATATTTTACATCCTTAAATATATGTAGTGTCAGAATAATATAGTGTCATTTCTATGTTTTCCAAGAGTCTCTAAAAAGCATGTTAAGAAGTAGAAAAAGGAAAGATTAATTGGAGAGAGATCTACAGAAAGGAATGGCAGGCAGTGATTTCTGCTTTGAAGTTCTACATGCTTGAAGAGGTATCTAAATGGAAAATGAATATGGTCAGAAATACTTGTTTTCAAGAAATGCCTATCATGAATTCTTTTGGCTTGCATGTTATTATTAGGAAAATACATTTATTTTTCGATGTCTCTGGAACATGAAAATTTGTGAATAATTTTTACAGTGAGACACCACAGAAGTTATTACATTTGTAAGAGATGAAGTCTTGACTGGTATGATAACATGGAACATCCTGCATCAGCAGTTGTTAATTGTACATTTCCTTCTACTGCAGTGTTTAAGCCAATTATTCTGCTGCAATCCCAAACCCTTCTCACTAATCCTCCAGTGGACATTTTTAAAATCGTAATTTGACAGTTCACTCTTGGACGTTTCTCATGATTATTTGTTGACTACAGTATTCAAATTTTTTAAATAAGCCTAATAAGTAGGCTCCACTGAATAGTTTTTGGCTATGTTTACAAAATATCTCATTTTGAAGCTTTTAAAGAGTGACTATTTGAAAATTAGTCATAAGGCAAGAAAATCTGCAACAAAAGATACTAGGTTTTGGGGGGATAATGGCATATATTTTATTTGTTAGAAACAATGTAACTCTTTTCGGAGAGTTATCTCTGTAGGCAGTCTCTGCTCTGTGGATATCTTTCCATTTATAAAAACAACAAACTGAAAAACATGTGGGACAAGAAACATTTAAAATGTAAAGAGCATATCTTCATTATTTGGATACTTTTATCAAATTTCAGAAATGTCAGTGATGACAAATATTAATTTTTGGTATTTTGCTATGTTTTCCCAAGAGAGGGAGCAAATACTATTTTATCACAAAAGTGTGCTTTAGGTCTCCATCTAGTGGTAGCTTTTCAGATACTCTGCTAACATGAGTCGTATAGATGTTCCTTGACTTAAGATGGGGTTAAATCCTACATAAGTTGAAAGTCATAGGGCAAAAAACCTATCAAACACCATAGCATAGCCTATTCTACCTTAAATGGACGCAGAACACTTAATTAGCCTAAAGTTGGGCAAAACCATCTAACACAAAACCTACATTTAAATAGTGTTGAGTATCTTGTAATTGAATACTGTACAGAAAGTGAAAAGCAAAATGTTTGAATGAGTATTTGAAGTCATTTCCACTGAATGCTGATCATTTCTGCACCATCATAAAGTTAAAAAAAAATCTTACGGCAAACCATCATAAGTAGGAAACCATCTTATATTCACAAAATTTCCTAGGATCCTGAAATAACTCTTGAGCCTCTGCAACTTGAATTTCCTCCCAATCATTCAGAATGTCTGTTATTTTATGTAATGAGACCTACAGCGTAAAAGTTTTGTTATGCAAGTTATTATTTGTTTTGTATGTTTCTCCAAATGTTTTTTCATTCAGAACATCTTTAAAGGAATAAAAAATCAAGATAATTAAAAGACCTGAAGCGTTTAAGTTGAAATAACTTAGTCCACATCAATTATACTCACATGTATTTGAAAATGTAACAGTTTTATATATTTATATTACGACATCTAAGGGTAGCAATTTCTATTATTTATCATGAGACTCTGAGTCTTCTACTGGAGAGACAGTCCTTTGGTAGTGAGTCTGGAATTTGCATTTTGGTAGATTTAGGAGTTCCCAGAAGTATACTTTTGTATATTTTTCTACTGAGTTCCCACAACTTTTATTAAATATTTTTTATCACTGCTTTAATTATATATTTATGCATTTTCTATGCATATTTTACTTAAGACTTGTATAAACATAAGCATAGAGAGAGATGATTGACAATAAAAGAGACTTAAAAATTTTTTCTTCTCTTTCTAGCCTACCATTTTAAAAGGGTATGTTTCTCATTAACTTCTTTGGGTAAAGTGTCCTACAGCACACAGCTAGAGAGATTTAATAAACCCTTGCCAATAAGTTTGATTTTTATTTTTTAAAAATCAGGCTACTTTAAAGATTGCCGTTCCTTCCCCCACAAAAAATGAAACCTTCTTTACAATAAGATTTTCTTTTTAAAGTGAATTAGTCCAATTAAAATTCCACCTGTAAATACTCTTTTTTTCCTTCTACTTTGACATAAATGAACACACTTAAGACATTTGATGAAAAATCTGGCGAAAACCAACCCAAGAATTTAGTAGAAGCTAATGTTTTAGTGGGGAGAGGAAAGAAGAAAGGGAGAGGAATTTAGGGGAGTAAATATGTATATGCTTGATCTTCCTTTTCAAGTTAATTTCTGCACATATCTCATTCAGGTTTTCATATCCAAAACGCTTTATCATCTTTTATAATGCACAACATCATATTTCTTGTTTAAGAAATCAAATCGTACATGAAAACAGCTGCCACTTTAGACAGTAGATATCAGAATTACACAGAATTTTAAAATAGGAAGAAATATGCAAGCGATACTTTAGGAGCAATGAGTTTATCTATAAGAATAAATTAATAAATAAACTATTTTCAAGAAGTTGTAAAGGCCAATAAGTTTACTCCCAAGATGTCTCAGAAATTTTTTGTGTTTATGTAGAAGGTATTTCTTTTAACTTACTTTATAAATTATGTGACTAAGAATAAAATTATGTAATTACCTTTAAAATTACATGATTATATATTTAGATTGTGTGATAATTATATCACTATAAAATATAATTAATGGACTAATCCTGTTTCAATGGGCAGATGGAATTATCTACAGACTATCTCTAGTGATTCAAAATTTCCTTCGTCACCCTGAGATAAAAGTTCAGAGCAAGGTGGCAGAATGGGTAAGTGAATTTGTAAAATTTCCTTTTAAAACTACACACACACACCACCCCCAGAGGTGTCAAAGAAAGGTAAACAAGTTTTAAGAGATGTTATCTATGTATTACTTTTCAAAGTACTTTTCAGAAGTGTCTAGACACTGATAATAACCACTTTGAGCACCTGTTGCAAAAATCAAATATGACTTGTATTCATCTTTTCTTATTGTTATATATTGAGTATTACAACTGTGATATACTTTTTTTCCTTTCTTATAATGTATATACATTTTGTCACCCTCTGTGTGTACCTAAATTTGAAAAATATATCTTTAAATATATATGTATTTGAAAAATAACTGATTAAAAACAGTCTTATTTTTAAAGGTAATACCCTTTAAAACAAGTTGACCATAGGAAACAATAGTATGTTATTAACAACTCTGTTAAAAATTGGCGAGAAAGGTAAAATTTTCTAACATAAATTTTTTAAAATGCTACTGTTGACCTTTTGGAATGCCTCATTATCATTAGTAACTGACTCAAACACTAGGAGATGTGTTTAATTTCTAAATGGAAAGCAAGCAGACTTTACAGAAAGAGTGTATTCTTGCATCCCATTTTCTTTCCAGCATTATTATTTTTGTTTAAGGTCAGAATGATTTCAAAAGATAAAATTCTTTATTTTCATTCTCAAATCAGTCACTGGTGATGTTATTCATCCTGAGCATTACCATTCACTAGATAGCTAGTGCTAGACAAGGTATAGTTTTACTTCTGTGTTTACTTCATGCATGGTTTTTGACATAGCATCATTCTCATCTGAAGTTAAACTTTAGTAGACACTTTTCATTTAAGATGCAAGATAGCACAGCAGATATCTGATAACAGAGAAAACACAAGTGATGTCCCTGATTCATACTGTTACTATTTACAATTAAAAATAATTTTACACTTTTTTGGGCCAGCATTTCCTAAAACTTACATTCAGTTTAAGAAATACACAGAAGGCAAAATGTAGGTATGAAACAAAACCTAAGGAACCCTTCAGGGGTGACATATAGATAGGGGAATCGGATGTCAGTAAGGAAGTCCTGTTTTGCAGTTGTATTGGACACTGTATTGTGGAAGCTTGTTTATACTGAGAGTAATTTATTGCTTCATTACAAAGTCCTATGCCGAGACCCCAAAAGACTGCTAAATAAACACAAAATAATTTATGTAATTCCAATAATGTTAAACTATTTTTGTTTGTTTTTTTTAAAGGTTTATAGTGTTAAATTATAATTGTCCCTATTACTAATATTCTTGTAAATGGTAATTACTAGGAAACATGCTTTAGCACACCTCAGTGTTAAATGAAGAATAAGGGAAGGTGTTTATTTGTGCTAATCCTATTATTATAATACAGGCTAGAGAGGAAATGATAGTGTTTCCAAACAGACAGATTGAGTTCTAATTTGGGATCTGTTACTTCTGAGTTGGATGATCTTTGGCAAGATATTTCCTCTCTGAGAAGCTCAGTTTCTTTATATATAAGGCTGTTGGGGGTTTGGGCGGGGAGATGATACCTATCTCACTGATTGTTATGAGACTTGAAAAAACATTTGTCAAATCCTTCGTAAGGAATGATCCTTTAATGTTACAATGACCCAATAACTGTTAACTGTTACCTTTCACTCCTCTAATTCTCCAGGATTTTCCCAGAATCTTATCCCAATAACAGCTTTATCTTTGGGAGGGAAGAAAGTTATTCAGATTGTTTTTTAAAATATTACCAAAACTCAACCTTTTCCATTGTGATTTTCAGCTCAATTCAACCTTCCAGAATTGGAACTATACTGTCTATGTGGTTAATATCAGGTAAATGACAGAATTATTTGAAAAATTAAAAATAACATCTATTTAATGCTACTTTCTCTGACTGTACAAACACCCAATACATATATGTACAATATTCATAATCTTTCTTTAAAAAACCCTCTATATTATATTAGTAGTTTGCACAAAAGCTTCAGTGCTGCAGCACTGATTTTTAAATTTTTTGATCATGCATCCCAAGTCATTTAAAAAAAATTTTTAGCATGTACTACCAAATATGTATTTGTATTTTTAAGTAAACCATGTGTATTTATATGTGTGTATGATAATTAAATATAAATAGAAGTTGTTAGTTTCTTCTCTCACCCCAGATTTTGAGACCACTTTTTTAATAGATCTGATTTTGTACATCTATGGTCTGATTGCAACATGGCTTTTAAAAATGACCTTTAACTATTTTTCTAGTTAAATCTTCCACTAAATCTTCAACAATTAGCACTGTCCGCATATCCTCTTGTGTACCTTGTTTTTAAAGTTTTAAGCTTAAACTAGTTTAGTTTTCTAGAGTTTATTTCATGACCCCTAAACATGTATCTATAAATCTAAGAGATATAATCACAGAAAAGGGGTCCAATGTCAAATAAGTTCAGGAAGTATATTATTCCAGAAAGCAAAGTAGACTTCTTTATCAGAACATCTCAAGTTTTTTAGTATGCTAATATGCATTGTGAATTTTCAAAAAGAACAAGAGTGCACAGTTGCCCAACTTTATAAAAGAAACTAGAGCCTCAGAACACATATTTGGAAATACTGGCTTTGAATGTCCATTATACCTCCCTCTTTCATCTCCCCAAATTTTATTGTTGATGATGCAGTGAATGAAGTTAATTTATGAATATTTATATTTGTATTTATAGTTTTCACCTGAGCACTGGGGAGGACAAGATTAAAGTCAAGAGAAGCATTGTGAATGATCAAAGGTAACACTGACGAAGTCTGACGAAAAGTATAACATTCTTTCTCTTGCTCACTGCTTTGACTCTCTGGTAGAAAAATGAAAACAATGAGATAGGATAAAAAAATTTAGCCATAAAGCACATATAAATTATTTCTTTGGTACTAATGCACACTATTTTTTTCTTGTAGTGAAAGCCATAATATATCAGACTGAGTAGTAATGTGCATCTGATGAAAAATAATTCAGAAGTAGAGCATTTTAAATGAATGAATTATTATTTTTAATATCTATGGTTTGTTTAAGACAGTTCATTACTTCTTATTTGAAATTGCAAAGAGACCTTCTAAAAATAGGCTTATTGTAAATAAAGTGCTTATATATAATATTATCTGACAATATGGATCATTGCTGCAAAATAGTTTTAGTATTTAAGGCCATCAACTAATTTTCTGAAGTCTCCATTCAAAAATTTATACCAAGATCATGACTTAACCAGGTAAGTAATTTAATGAGTATGTCCAGCATACATAACTAACCTGTTGGCATATAAAGACCAAGTGTTTAGAGTGCTGTAGAATGAAAAACAGTCAAAACTCCTAAATGGAGTAAATTTAATTGTATTCAGGTGGTGATTGCATCTCCATAGACATTTAAAAAAATTCATTGTAAAGCAAAAGTTCCTGTAAGTCTTGCTGGGTTTCAGTGGACTGAATTAATGTTATGGGTATACATTCCTGCTGATAGCGTATGCTTCTTTTCAGGTAGTATATTCTTACTATGAGAAAGTAAAAATAAAATGTTATATGAGAGTTGACCAAAGAACTCTTCTTATTTTTTCTTTTACATACTCAGCACTAGGAAAACAGATATTTTAAAAGTTATATTGAAATGCCATATATATGTTAATATTTATTCATTATTAATGGATATTTTAAAGTTATGTTCATAATATAAAATAATTATTTTTATTTATTTGTTTTTAATTATAGAAAAATATAATATACATCATAATTATTTAGCAGCCATCTGATTAGGGAAAGGTATTATTTTTAAAAATTGTTTCTTTTCCTTTATGATCTGAAAACAGAGTAATATATTTCATTACTGTGTTTTTCAAGGTGACAGAACTTTTCTCCTCTATTTAACCATATAATTTCTTTTCCAACCCTTTCTGCTAGATCATATTGAGTCTTTAATAATGGGTCCAGCAGCAACCTGGATCCATTTGCTGGGGACACTTTGTCTAGCAATTGGGACAACCCTGGTTTGGACATCAATGGTATACCCTTTCCAGGAAGCCAGCATTCCCTTTTTAGTTTATTTACTGTGATTCTTCTACTACCTGGTAATACTAAAGTCAGTCATCACTATTATATGCTAACACCCAGAAATTCTTGCTTGAAAGATATTTAAATTCATGGATCTCAGGTTCCCAGACTATCTAACCAGTAAGTAATTTCACAGAAAATTCTCCCAAATGAACTAAGACAATGTTCGTGGGAAAATCTGCAATTTTTTTTCTTTGGCATGAACTCTTGCCATTGTTTTAATATTTATTTTTATAGCCTTTTCTCCATCTCTTTTTCCTATTCTCTACTTCTCATATGCTCATTTGATGAATCTTAATAGTCTCTCCAAGTTTTTCTCAAAACTACAGTCTACTAGTTTTACACACATTCTTTTTTTCAGACTTTCCCTTTCAATTCGATTGTATCACTTAACACAGACCATAGCTTTAGATAATGCTATCATACTCTATTTCCAAGACAGACAGGAAACCAAAGCCACAGGACTGTTTTTTTTTGTTTTGTTTTGTTTTTTTCAAATAAAGAATGGCTGATGGTAACAACAGATAGAACTGACTTTGTAGTACTATTAAACAGTTTCAGTTTTCAGGATGAGAGAGGAAAACAACACAGATAAGACCTGTGAAAATGCATGGTTATTCCTGAGTTTGAGTATTCAATATCACCCACAATACATTGTGCTAATTATGTTCTCAGTATTCAAGATACATAAAAGGTCACATTCCCAAGTTCTCAGTAACTGAAGTGGCAAAAGTTGTCTTCAAACAATGAAGGGAGACTCTTTTATGGGCCACTTAAAAAATCTTAAGATATCTTAGTCACCATTGTATATATTTACATTTATGTTTGTCTCATCCTGAAATATGGCTTAAGTATGAATGTTGAGCAGTAGATCATTTTACAGAAAAATAGCTTTTCAGAGTTAATTATGTGAATTGTAGAGCACCTTGTCCTTGGATTAGCACAGATATTTAGGGGGGGAAATTGAGCTATTCTTTACTTTCAACTAACCTTAAGTAGCAGATATTTCATATATTTCTCTCTCTTTTTAGCACTACAAACATATTACTACTATGACTGTTTAACATTTATTCATATTCAAATAATTTCATAAATAAAATATGATACTGCCTCTCCAACTGAACTCCATAGTTATTTTCAAAACAGTGCTACCACTTTGACATTTGGACAGTAGCTAATCTTGATAATAGAATACTTTATCGTACATATTATTTATTTCTCCTCAGAATAAGAACATAAAAGTTTTGTTACAAACCCAGAGCTTTCACATATAAGGGGGAAAATCTCTTCCCTACTTAACAAAATAATGTCATTTTATTTTACTCCAATGTTAAATTTTGATTTCTACTCTTGTCTATAGCTGTGATTATAGTTGAGTAGAAAATTATATTACTTTAAACCGTAGAATCAAAAGTTTTGACAAGACTTTTAGGATACATTCATTTGCTTCCCTGAGAGATATTTTCTTTTTAAAAATTTTCAAGGTCAGACATTTTATAATCTTCTTTGGAAGTACACTGGCCAATCAAGAACACATTATAATTTTTCACCATACAAAATACTTTCAAATACTTCCTGGAGATAGGAAATCATTTGTTGCTATTCTGGAGAAATTGTACCACATTCATAAACAATAATATTTAATAATTTCAAAAGTCAAATGATCAGTTGAAATTCTAATTTAAAAAACCAAAACTTTATTTTGGCTATAAAGGAACAATGTAGGATTGATCACAATTTTGGCCCTTTCTTGTATGTATGCTGTAAAATGCTACTGTGTAATATAGAATATTGTTAACATTAAATATTAAAACATTTCTGAAAAATGGGGTGATATGATACATACATGCAATATTCCATAGAATATATTCATATTGAATATGTTTTTTAAGATATGGGGTCTAAGCCGGGCTCGGTGGCTCAGCCTATAATCCCGCTCCTTTGGAAGTCTGAGGTGAGTGGATTGCCTGAGCCTGCAGGTTCGAGACCCACCTGGGCAGCGAGACCTCATCTCTACAATAAATCAAAAATTAACCGGGCGTGGTAATGCGCGCCTGTAGTTCCAGCTACTTGGAAGGCTGAGGCGGAAGGATCGCCGGAGCCCAGCAGGTCGAGGCTGCGGTGGCCGGGAGCTGCCACTGCACTCCAGTCTGGGCGAATGAGTGAGACTCCAACTCAAAAAAAAAAAAAAAGATATGGGGTCTGTGACCCACTGCAGTTGTGCAGTGGTGCAATTGTAGCTCACTGTAACCTCAAACTCCTGGGTTTAAGTGATTTTCCCACCTCAGCCTCCCAAGCAGCTGGGATTGCAAGCATGAGCCACCGTGCCTGATCCATATTGAAATATTTTTAGCATTATAATTTATGTAGCAACAGAGAAAGTCTGTGAGTACCTTGACTAATCTCTTCAGTCTCCACACTTCATAGTCATACTTCATATTCAAGTGTTTTGTTTTCCCACCAAATAACAACCAATCAACAACCCCAACAACAGTTCTATCTGAAATGTTTCCCTAGGTTGGTGCTTTGGGCCCTTCTAGTTTACAATGCTACCAACAATACCAGTTTAGAAGGAAGAGCCATTCAGCAGAAGCTCTTAAAAAATAATGAGTCCCTGGATGAAGGTTTGAGGCTGTATACAGTGAATGTGAGACAACTGAGTAAGTTACTTTAATTTTTTTTACAACATGCGTTTTAAATGACTGTATATTCAGGTTTAATTGAGACCACAACAGAAATATTCTTCCTTTATGTGCTATTTGTTTATATAAAAATATTTTTTCTGATGATGAAGTTCATCATAGTGGTGACATTGTAACAAATGGGTGACATGGCAAAAAGAAAATAAATCAGCTCAGTGCCCACGAATCCAAGGAAATGAAAGAGGCAGAGGAGAGTTTATACTTTATTTTAGAGTTGTATTTTGAAAAACTAATATATGAGCAAAATGACAATAACTTTGACCACTGGCATCACCTTTAGGAATAAAAGGAGCATATATATATGGACATGGGAACTCTAAGAGGTTAAATCTTGTAGAAGGCAATTTCCCATTTTAATACATCCCCTTCTCTTATGTCCTTTGTCTCCATTAGTGATACCACTGGCTTCACAGGAATAGGCCAGGAATCAAGTCTCCCCTGGACACCATTTACATCCTAAGCTCCAGCCACTCATGCCATCCTGCTTGTACGTCCCTTAACAAGCCATGCTCCTCACATATCCCTTCTGGTTTTGCCCACACTGCTCTTCTTTACCCCCATCATCCTCCCCTGATTATCACCTACATATATTTAAGGCAACTCCAGAATCCCCTCTTCTATGAAGCCTTTTCTGACATCATCATATATGAATAGACATCACCACCTTTGAGCCTTGGCTTCAGGTCCTGATATCTGGACAACATGCCTCAGAAGACCACAATATCTGACTGGATGTTTTTATGTCCTTACATATATTCTCTTTAAACAATCATCTCTGGCTTTAGTTTAGTTTTTCTTTATATCCTTATTTCTTACCTACCCCTAGAACTTGAACACTTGTCAAGTAAATGAATTTTTTAGGAAACTAAATGTTCAAAAATGTGGGCAACATAAAACAATTGTTGTAATGTTATTATATTATATGATGACAGTTATATTATGATCAGAGATTGAGAAAAAAAGAAAATTTTGACACTTTGCCTTCTATACACTCAGGAGCTTGAAGTGACGGAAGCAAGTATTTCTAAGGCTCTGTTAAGCAGTATTACTAAGAGTAAGCTCAGAATCACAGTGCCATAAAGAAACAGACATCTAGACATCTGTGAGAAAGCACTCATCTTTATTGGGTTGATATACGTGATATCAGAGAATTCTTGCTTCCTAACAAATTCTTGCTTCCTAACAAATGGGGATTTTTTTTGAGAGTAGGGAGAGCACAACCTGCTACCCTTTCACATTACAAGAGTCTCCACAAAGTAGGAGCTTGAAAAATGGTCATTTATATGTGACTGAAGAGCCCTGAAAGGGCAGCCCCATCTGTCTTCAGAAGCTGGGGAATCCCAGGATAATACTCTCTCCATTTGTAGACATTTAATTTAAATTCTACGTATTATTTTTTTTCTGCAAGTGGGTCAGTGGAAAAAAGTTTCTATCAATGGAAAAATAAAAAGCTAAAACTTGACTGTCTTAAAAATTTTATTGTATTATAGAGATCTGGGGTACAAATAGAATTAACTACATAAGTAGCCTGCATACAGGTGTTATTTGGGCTTCTAACAGGTCCTCATTCATCTTGGTAGTGGACCAGGTACGCTTTGTGTTGTCAAGTATCCCCAATACTTTTCTCTCTCTCCCTCCCCTGGCAGTACCCAATGCTGGTTGATCCTTCCCGTGTGCTAATGTGACTGATGTTCAGGGCCTACTAATGAGTGAGAACGTGCAGGTATTCAGTTCCTTGTTTGTGTAATAGTTCACTCAATATGATGGTCTCCAACTCCATCCAGTTTGCTGCAAAGTCCATGATTTTGTTCTTCTTTATAGCTGCGTAATGCTCCATCAGGTATATGTACCGCAATTTTTAACCCAGTCCACTTTTGATGGGCTGTAGGGTTTGTTCCAGGTTTTTGTTATTTTGAAGAGTGTGGCAATAAACATATATGTTTTTTGTAGAATGATTTATGTTCTTCAAGGTATATTCCCAGGACAGGGATTACTGGATCATATGGAAGGTCAATTTTAGTTCTTTTAGGAATTGCTACACTGCTTTCCGTAGAGATTTAACTAGTTTGCACTCCCACAAATGGTGTAGAAGCATTCCCTTTTCTCTGCACTCACACCAGCATCTGTTGTTTTTTGGCTTATTAATAGCCATACTTACCAGACTTAGGTGGTATCTCACTGTAGTTTTGACTTACATTTCCCTGATGATTAGTGAGGCTGAGCATTTTTTCATGTGTCTATTGGCTGCTTATATGTTATTTTTTTTGTGCCCTTGGTCCACTTTTTTTTTTTAAGCTCCTGTGGTACAAGAGAATATGTCTTTTATTACATGTATTTAACATGTAATACATATCCCACCTGGGGGGAATCTGCCCCAAGTATAGACAACACCCAAAATTCTCCTTACTGGGTAGATTAGTCGTGACTGAGGTCGGCTTTTCTGCTGTCAGCCTACACTAACTAAGATGAAGCCATCCATGGGTTGGGCCGAAATGAGAGACATTCTTTCCTTCTTTTTTTTCTTGAGTAGGCCTTTTGAAAAAAATAAGACAAAAAATAGCAAAGGATCTTTTGCTAGATTATCAGCATCAATTTAATCCTTCATTCATAAATGTAAATTTCCATGCTGTAACACAGTAACCCCAAATCCGAGAGGACTTGTGTGTAATGTTTACTTATTCCAAAGAAGTCACCTGGAAGACCAGCAGGGTGAGACATTGGTTTATTCAGACTTATGTATCGATTCTCAGCCTTTTGGCTAAGATCAAGTATATTCAGACTTATAGGAGGCACCAATGGGAGTGGATCGGTGAAGAATCTGCCCTTGGTCCACTTTTTAATGGGGTTGTTTGCTTTTTCCTTTCACTTTACTTGATTTCCTTGTAGATCCTGGATGTTATGCCTTTGTTAGATGCTTAGTTTGCATATATTTTTCCCATACTGTGGGTTGTCTCTTTTCTCTCTTGATGGTTTCTTTTGCTGTGCAAAAGCTTTTCAGTTTGATGGAATCCCATTTGTCTATCTTAGCTTTTATAGCATTGTTTTTTGGGGACTTGCTCAATAATCCATTGCCTACCCCAATGTGCATAGGGTTTCCTGTATTTTCTTCTACAATTCTTATTGTTTGAGGTTTTATGTTTAGGTCTTTAATCGATTTTGAGTTGATTTTTGTATATGATGATAGGTAGGGTTCCAGTTTCATCCTCCCGAATGTGGTCAGCAGTTTTCCCAATACCGTTTGCTAGATACTGTCTCCTCCCCCCAGTGACTGTTATTGGTAGTTTTGTTGAAGATGAGTTGGTTGAGAGTTCGAGTTTTTGCTTTCAGAATCTCTGTCCTGTTCTATTGGTCTGTGTGCCTATTTCTGTACCTAACCAGACTGTTTTGGTTACTGAAGCCTTGTAGTAAAGTTTAAAGTATGGAAATGTGATACCTCCCACTTTGTTTCTTTTGCTGAGAATTGTTTGAACTATTTGTGCTTTTTTCCATTTCCATATGAACTTCTGTATTGCTGTGTCCAGGTCTGAGAAGAATGATGTTAATTTGATGGGTATTGCATTGAAGCTATAGATAGTCTTTGGTTGGATGGATATCTTGACAATATTGATTCTTCCAATCCATGAGCATGGAATGTTTTTTCCATTTATTTGTATCATCCTTGATTTTTTTGAACAGTGTGTTATAGTTCTCATTGTAAAGGTCTTTCGATTCTCTGGTTAGGTGGATGCTATGGTATTTTGTTTTTTTGTGTGGCTATTGTGAATGGGATTGTGCTTTTTATTTGGTTCTCCGCCTGTTTATTTCTGGTATATAGAAATGCACCTGTCTTTTGTACATCAATTTTGTACACTGAGACTTTACCAAAGTTGATGATCAGTGTGAGGAGGCTTTTGACAAGAGTTTACAAGGTGTAGATAGAATCATATTGCCCACAAAGAGGGATAGTTTAACTTCCTCTTTTCCTATTTAGATACCCCTGATTTCCTTCTCTTGTGTTATTACTGTGGCTAGGACTTCCAGCATTACCTTAAGCAGGAGGGGTGAGAGTGGGCAACCTTGTTTCATTCCCATTCTTAGAGAGAATGTGGCCAGCTTCTGTCCACTGAGCAAAATGTTGGCTGTGGTTTTATCATAGATGGCTCTTACTGTTGTGAGGAGTATTCCTTCTGGGCTCGGGTGCCAAAGGTTTTTTAGCAAGGAGGGATGCTAGATTTGTTGAATGCTTTTTCTGCATCTAATGATATAGTCTTGTGGTTCTTGGTTTTACGTCTGTTGATATGCTGAATTATATTCATGGTCTGCAAATGCTGAAACAGCTCTACATCCCAGGAGTGAAGTTCACCTGGTCATGGTGGATGATCTTTAAGATGTATTGTTGGATCCAGTTTGCTAGAATGGATCTTGTTTAGCATGTTTGCATCTATGTTAATCAAGGAGATGGCCTGTAATTTTCTTTCTTTGTAGTGGCTTTGCAAGGTTTGGGTATCAGTATGATGTTAGTTTCATAAAATGAGTTAGAGAGAATTTTCTCATTCTCCTTTGCCTGGAATACTTTCAATAAGATTGGTATCTTCTCCTCCTCGTGTGTCTTGTAGAATTCAGTTGGAAAACCATCTAGTCCAGTGCTATTTTGGTAGGGAAATTTCTTATGACTGAGTTGATTTCCTGGATTGTTATTGGTCTGTTTAGAATTTCAATTTTTTCTTATTTCAACCTTAGGAGGTTATGTGGTGTCAGAAAGTCCTTCATTTCTTTTAGGTTTTCTAGCTTATTTGCATATAGGTGTTCATAGTAATCGCTGATAATCTTTTGAATTTCTTCAGGATCAGCTGTGACTTCGCCTTTTGCATTTCTAATTGTGTTTATTTGGATTTTCTCTTTTTTAAAAGTCAACTTGGCTAGGGGTTTGTCATTCTTTTTTATCCTTCAAAAAACTAGCTTTTTGTCTTGTTGATCCTTCCTATAATATTTTTATCTTGGATATCCTGCAATTTTTGATATTATCTTGGTAATCTGGGTTCTTCTGATGAAGTGAGAATTTAGATAATCTTGTCTTTGAAGCTCCTTTAGGTGTGACATTAGGCTATTTACTTCTGATCTTTCTGTTTTCTTGTTGTATGCATTGCAGTGCTATGATTTTCCTCTTGACATAGGTTTTGTAACATCCCACAGTTTCTAATAAGATGTGTCTTGTTTTCATTTATTTCCAGGAATTTTTTATTTCTGTCTCGATTTCTGTGTTGACCCAGAAGTCATTCAGCAACATGTTGTTTAATGTCCATGTCATTGTGTATTTTGGGGGGATCTTGTTTGTGGTGATATTTATTTTTATTCTACTGTGATCCAAGAAGATGCATGGTATTACTTTGATCTTTTGAAATTTGTTCACACTTGATTTATGTTTAAGAATGTGATTAGTCTTGGAGTATATTCCATGTGCTGATGAATAGAATGTATACTCTGTAGATGTTGAATAGAGCGTTCTGTATATGTCTAATAAATCCATTTGATTGAGCATTAAGTTGTGGTTCTGGATCTTCTTATTGGTTTTTTGCCTCAATGATCTGTCTAAGGGTGTTAATGGGCTGTTTGTGTACCCAACTATGATTGTGTGAATATCAGTGTCCCCTCTTAGTTTATTTAGTTGTTGTTTTATAAAACTTGCTGCTTCTGTGTTGGGTGCATATGTATTTAATATGAATATTTCTTGCTAGTGGATTGAACCTTTTATCATTCTACAGTGTCCTTCCATGTCTTTTTTAACTTTTAATGGTATGAAATCTGCTTTGTCTGATCTCAGAACAGCTCCACCTGTTTTCTTCTGTTTTCCATTTTCCTGAACGAATGTTTTCCAGCCCCCAACTTTCAATGTGTGGGTGTCATTTGCAGTGAGATGAGTTTCCTGGAGACAGCAAATTGTTGGATCATGCTTCTTTATCCAGTTTGCCACTCTATGTCTCTTCACTGCTGCATTTAGTCCATTCATTTTCAAATTGATTATTGAAATGTGAGAGTTTATTTCTATCATAGGGCTCTTAGGGAGTTGCTTTGTTTACTTTTTGATTTAAATATGCGTGTATTTTCATTTTTTGTGAGTGCTCTGTATGCTCTGTTAACTCTGCTTGCCTGTACTTTTGTGATGGATATAACCTTTATTTGTTTGTCTGTTTTCTGTGTCCAACCCCTTCTTAAGTGTCTCCCGAAGGGCTGTCCCGGAGGCAGCATATTTTCTTAGGAATTGGATGTCTGAGAAGGATTTTAACTTTCTATCACTGATAAAGCTTAATTTGGATCTAAAAATCAACCTTCTATACTACCCAGCAGTCCCCCTTCTGGGGATATACCTAGAGTAACTCAAATCATTCTATAAAAAAGATACCTGCACCTGCATGTTTATTGCAGCATTATTCACAATAACAAAAACATGGAACCAAGTATGCTGCCCATCAAAAGTGGACTGGATAAAATGAAAATGTGTTATATATACACAATGGAATATTATGCAGCCATAAAGGACAAAATTATGGGCTTTGCAAAACTTGGATGGATTTAGAGTCTATAACACTCAGTGTGCTATCACAGAAACAAAAACTGAGTACTACATGTTCCCACTCATACACGGACCCCGAACATTTATCATTCATCATAAGTAAGGGATTGGCAATAGTGGAAAACTGCCAGGGGAGGGAGTGGCAGTACATAACATCATTAAGGGTAGCTTATCTCAAACCAGGCTAAGTGGGGAGACCAAAGGGAGGCCCAAACTTTACCTGTATGGTGACCATTTATGTACCTAATCCTGAATTTTACCCCACATCTTTAAAATAAATAAAAATAAAAATAAGACACACACACACACACACACACACAAAGCTTAGCTTTGGTGGATTACGAAATTAAAGGCTGGGATTGCTTATCTTTAAAAACATTAAAAATTGGACTACAGTCCCTTCTGACTTGCAGTATTTTTGCATGTAAGTCTGGTGCAATTCTGATGGGAATTCCTGGCAGGTCATCTGACTTTTCTTTCTCACTGCCTTTAAAATTTTTTTCTTTCATGCTTACTTTGTGAAGGCAAATTCCTGTGTGTCTTGAGGATGGTCTTATCATGTGATACCTTGCAGGGGTTCTCTGAATTTCTTGTGCTCGAATGATTGTCTCTCTAGTAAGATGTGGGAAATTTTCTTGGGTTATATAATAGAATGCCTGTTCCATTGTGTTCTCAGTTTCCTTTTCTTCTTCGGGATATTAGTCAGGTGTAGATCTAACTTCTTGACATAGTCCACATCTCTCAGAAGGTTTTGGTCCTTCTTTTTGACCTTTATTTCTATGCTTTTAACAGACGGGGTTAATTCCATATTTTGGTCTTCAAGCTCTGTGTTTCTTTCCTCTGCCTAGTTGATCCTTCTCCCTATGCTTGTTACTGTATTTTAAATTTCCAGGTTAAAGTTTTTCATTTTCATTATTTCAGAATGGGCTTTTCTGAAATTGGCCTACTCTGCTTTTACTTCCTGTATAACTTCAGTGAGTTTTGCTTCTAGTTTCTCTTGGTTTTCTCTGTTCATTTTAGTCATTCACTTTCTGATTTCTGTGACTGTCATCTGGGACAAATTGTTCCGGGGGGGGGGTTTCCATTGTTAGTGTTATGATATCTGCTTTTTTGGGCACTGTCTCTTTAGGACTCTGAGGGTTGCCTATTTTTTTTCATTGATTTTTTTCCTCATTTGTGACAGGGCTGTCTATAATTCCACTTTAGTTTTGCTGCGCTTAAACTAGTTAATGACCCTCTGTTATAGGGCTCTTTTTGTGGTTCACTATATGTCACTCAGTGAGAGAGGGAGGGGCATCCACTTCTCCTTGTTCAACTCTATGGCAGGTTTCTCTACTGTAAATTTTTTCTCCTGCTGTTAATCTAGACAGGTTAGTTTTCAGCCTATGCTACTAGCGCTCTGCAGAAAGTGGGTGGAGGAATGGATTTCCCCATCTGCAGTCCGCAGTTTGCAACCCAGAAGCCTTTCCACCAAATAAACCTTTGGGTGTCTTTCATGTCACTCCCTCCCTGTTCAAGTCTGTACTCTACTCTTGAAAAAGAGCGAGTTACTGCCATGGGGTGGTTGGGGAAGGGAGTCCACCCTGTATGCATGCAGGGCTTGGGGATGATTCTTCCTAATCTGTCTGAGAAAATGACCAATAGTTGTTGGTGGCAGGCACCAGCCAGATTCCCTCTGCATGTGGGTTTTTTCTGCCTTGTAGCTGGTCACTAAGTTTCACTGACAGAATCTGTGCTCATGATGGGTTTTGTTCCCTGCTCCATTTGGGCTCCAGTTGCCCACTGGTATACCCTGACCAGGACTCTTCCTGCATGGGTCTGACATCTCACACATGACTGGAAGGGGCGAAGTGACCCAAAGTTTCTTAGGTTCACTCATCCACTCTTGTTCACCAGACAGGGCTTCAGTTCCTGTAAGAGCCTGGCACATGGTGGGGGACGGGGCACCTAAAACCTGACAAGTTTTAAAACTCTGACTGTACATGGGAAAGTTATTTGATTTTCAGTTGGTGACTACAGTACTAGCTTTTGGTAGTTTGGTGTAACATGCTGTTTTTTTAGTTCCAAAATACAAAATTTTATTGTTGTTGTTGATATATTGCTATTATTTTGATATTTATAAAAATGGAAAATCCGAATCATTTATGTCAAGATACTTACTCAGAAAGTTTTCAAACAAAAAGTGGGATGATTGAGGATAAAGTCAGAGAGTGTGGTATTAGCTCACATGTTCCTTCTTGCTGTCCCCCAAGTAATCATCCACGCACTAGTTGTTATCAGAGAAGCTGGAATGTTTTCCTAAAATATGCTCACCACTCAATATTTGTACCATTGGTGTACTCACTTGTAGTCTTTTTCAAAAAAAAAGATCAAATTGCATTTTGATTTTTTTCAGGGCTGTTTTCATTTTCCATAGTGCATATTTTTTGAATAAAACTTGTTTTACTAATCTTACCTGTTTATATTAGAATGATAATGTGACTTTAATCTTTGTACTCACATAGCTATGTTTTTTTAATTTGATGGTTGTATAAGATATAATTTTGTATTTGAAATGTATTAAATGTTCTAATTGGGAAATTTTTACAAATTTGAAATGGAAAACTCTACTAGTATTTGGTATTATATTAAGTAAGTACCTTCAACATCATTGTCATTTTGCTTTCATCTTGTACCTCTAACCTTACTTCAAAGAATAGATGAATATTTCTCATATTGGTTCTTATTTGCATGTAGATATATGTCCCGCTGTGGAGGAACCCAAAGGCTATTACTGGCCAGCCATCACACCTTCTGAGTACCGCTTTGATTGTCCTGACAAGCCTGGCTTTACTGCTTCACGGATATGGTAATATTTCCATTGACTCTTGACAGCAAAACTCCACATTATCTACCTTCTCAGGGGTTCCACGTGCTGCAATAGTAGCTCTCATGTATTGTATTGATTGGGAAGAAGGGCAGGTGCCTAAATCATACACTGCTGGGAAATAATGATGAGGTAAGCAGGTCACCAAGAAGGTCAGTGTTTCCTTCCCAGCAACATGCTAATGGAGCCCTCTCCACAGAAAGATCAAAGAATTAAGAAAGTAGAAGGTGGTACCTGAACAAGGCACCTTGTATGTAGATGGACCTAGCTACAGTACACCTTGGAACATCCACCTGAAACTCCCAAACTTTGTAACTATTTGGAGTGATTCTTGTTGGGGGAAAGGGAAAGGAGACAAAGAAAGAATCACAAAATCTAGGTTGCAGTAGTCTGCTGATGGAAACCATCAGGGTATAGATTTTCCCAAAATGTTTAACAGAAACCTCAGTAACAAGGCAATTGCAGGGATTCATGGACTAGCAAGTAAAATCAGTTCTTCACCCTCTACCTCACTCCCAGTTAAAGATTTCTTGAGGAAAATTAAAAATTAAAGTTGCCTAAAGTGTAAATATATTGTACCTACTGTTGTGTTTGACACAGTAGACAGAAATGGAGTCTTTAGAGATTTATGGACTTGAGTTGGAAATGTGTCTCTTTCTCTTCCTGGCTGTGAGAGCTTGGAACATTTTTTGATTTATCTCAGTTCATTTCCTCATCTATAAAATGTGTATTATAGTCTGCTTTACAGAGTTATGTGAAATCAAAATCAAATTTTACCTGTACTTGACCAATGTATCCTAGGCTGGGATATTGTTAGTATTTTATTTCCATGATGTATGCTACAGTTAGAATTTTTAGTGTGAGGTTTATTTCAATGTATTACAGTTTTATTTTCAAATGAAATTTACCTTGAGAGAGAGATCAATTCTAAAACTTATTATAACTAATTTTGTTGCTTATAATATCATTTATGCCAAACATTTAAAATAGCTTTCTTTGTTTCATAGTTATCTCAACAGTACCAACACATCAGTAGCCTTCTGGGGGCCCCCTGATATCTCCAACTGTTCAAGTGAGTAAGCAATTTTTCTTCATTTGTCAAAGACAAAATGAAATGATACCATGTTCATGGTTTTCATCATCTTCAGACATATTCTGCTATTTGATACTATTTTAATATTAAAATTTAGGCAAATGATTATTTTACTTAAGATAGAAAATACTTTTTTCTCATTTTAACTTTCTATTTTGTTCATTCTGTAGGAGAATAAAAATCATAAGGAAAATCTAAAGAAGACAAAACAAATATATAAATTGATATTTGAATTAGTGCTTTGTATTTTTGTATTCTTTTAAAATTACAAGTTTACACATATTAAGTGATTCTGGAAGCATTTCTCATAGAATAATATGTCATTAATCTTACTGAAGAGAGATGTTGGTTTCTATGTATAAATAATTATTGCCCTGTTAAGATGGTGATAGGGAGGTATACATAGGAACTTACTTTACTGCTTCAGCTATAAATTGAAATATCACACTATACTTTGGATTCCTGGAAATGCTCAAAATACACAAATAAAACTTTGCATGTTGTTTTTTCTGCCTTTTTTCAGAAGCAAATGAAGTTGCCAATCAGATTTTAAATTTAACTGCTGATGGGCAGAACTTAACCTCAGCTAATATTACCAGCATTGTAGAACAGGTCAAAAGAATTGTGAATAACGAAGAAAATATTGATATAACACTTGGCTCAACTCTAATGAATATATTTTCTAATATCTTAAGCAGTTCAGACAGTGATTTACTTGAGTCTTCTTCTGAGTAAGTATTTTCTTTTTCTGGAAGTTAAATTTTATTGGTTAAGTGTGCTGTTATATAATTTCTAACTTATCTGAAAACTTTGTGTCTAGATTTCATAATTGAAATTTCTAGAAGATGTAATGATAGTTATTGAAAACCATGCAAAGTCATTTACAAAATGAACTTAAAAGCATTTTGTAAGTAATAAATTTACAAAATTATTCAAGTTTCCATCTGGCAAGATATATAAATAACCACAGAAAAACATAATCAGCATTCGATTTTATTTGAAATACTCTAAAAAATTTAATTAACCCAGGTTATTCATAAATTGGTCACTGTAAGTCCACGATCCTGCAGACACAGACTGCTACAGCTATAGGATTGCTGTACTTCTGAAATGAACATGCGTAGGGCAGGTGAAATGTAGTTATTTTATACAATTCAAGTAGTTTCCAGTTACTTCATTTAATGTATTAGTATTAAGATTTTTAAAATTTCCTTCCTATCAACCACATTTCTTTGATGAAAATTTTATATTTGTTAAAATATATTATCTAACTTACTTTACCTACGTAATAATAATTACAAACATTTTCACAGCATCTGGCAGTTCACAAAGCACTTTTACCATATTATTTCCTTGGATTCTCTCTAAGTTACAAGGTAGGGAGGGTATTTTTTCATATGAGGATAGAGAGGCTAAGACAAATGAAAAACAGTATTTGTTCAGGATAATTTAGTTGTTGATACTTTTAAAGCAGATATTTCTCTTGAAGATGCATCTGTCACTATCATTCTATGTTTTAACTGCTATTATTGTGGTTTGGGGTAATTTTTTGGGTATTCATGTAAGATCAAAAAATTTCAAGACAATTTTATTTGGTTTATATTTTGCCCTGAAGCAAATGCATGCTCAGGCACCTAAAATATTGTTACTTAACAATAGTATTATTGTCATTTCTTTAGAGCTTTAAAAACAATTGATGAATTGGCCTTCAAGATAGACCTAAATAGCACATCACATGTGAATATTACAACTCGGAATTTGGCTCTTGGAGTATCGTCCCTGTCCCCAGAGACAAATAATACAGTTTCAAATTTTAGCATTGGTCTTCCAAGCAATAATGAGTCATATTTCCAGGTAATGATCCAGTGGTTTCTTTCATTTTAATTAATTAATATGTATATAAAAACTTGCAGATCACTTAATAGTTACTGCTTCAAGGTTATCTGGATCCTTGAGGTGGCAAGCAGGTCCAAACATTAGATAAGTTTAACAATAGCATGGTATTGTGGAGGCACAGAGATGGTATCCTTTAATAACCTGAGTGACTTGGGTGGTTGGCTTACCTTCCACAAGAGGTGATACTGGAGCTAAGCAGGAGTAAGGGCCACCATATTAGGATGGGGATGAGGATGAGTTAATCACAAGAAAGAGCTTTATTGAAGTCCCAAAGGTGAAAAGAAGCATGGTACATTCTCTTTGTCAGTGATTCTCAAACTGAACTGTACAATTTACTGGTGGACTTGTTAAAACAGATTGCTGGGACCCTCCACAAGAGGTACTAATTTAATCAGGCCCGGGTAGGTTCCCCAAATTTGCACTTTTTTTTTTTCTTTGAGTTGGAGTCTCACTCTGTCACCCAGACTGGAGTGCAGTGGCCGCTCCCAGCCACTGCAGCCTCGACCTGCTGGGCTCCAGCGATCCTTCCGCCTCAGCCTTCCGAGTAGCTAGAATTACAGGCATGCACTACCACGCCCGGCTGATTTTTTGATTTATTATAGAGATGAGGTCTTGCTGCCCAGGCGGGTCTCGAACCCACGGGCTCAGGCAATCCACTCACCTCAGCCTCCCAAAGGCGTGGGATTACAGGCTGAGCCACTGAGCCCGGCTAAATTTGCACTTTTAACAAGTGCCCAGGTATTGCTGATATTGCTGGCCTGAGGATCACACTTCAAAAATCAATGTTGTAGAAGTCTGGGATGTCAGGTGACAGCGAGGCTGGACAAGTAAGCTGGAGCCAGATTAATGGAGAGCCTCTTTGACATGTTAGAGTGTCACTTCAGCAAATAATTTTCAAGACCCCACTGTCTGCCAGACAATGTTAGCCACGAGGGTAAACAAAATAAATGAAGCATAGTCTTTGACCTGGGAGAGTACATATGCAGAGCATAATATTTCTTTAGCTTTGAAGATAGAACAAACTGAATATAAAGTCTGGAATTGGGATACAGGGAAGGCCTTTTTTCTTCTTTAGACTAGGGGCTCCTTGAGGTATTTTTGTTTCACATTTTAAGAGCAAAATCTCAATCAACCTTGGTCTCATTCTAAGACTGTTGGCAAACAAACACTCTTTGACCTGAGCTGTAGTTTCAGAAAAAATGCTATCCGAGTGTTCATAAAACTTCAACTGTTGCCTCTTTACAGGGATAACTCAGTCTCCACAATGAACAAATTAACTTCAGTCTCTCTCTCTCTCTCTCGCTCTGGCTCTCACTCTCTCATAGTTATCTTTCACAAAGTGTTTTGAGAAAAACTTCAGAACCTCATAATGACAAATCTAATACTTATACTTTAAAATTTGACTGATTTGTAGATTTCTCAATTTGCCTTAGTTAAAATCAGTGCGTTTTCTCCTTTGTCACACTGCAAAGCCCGAATGGCACCTATGGTTCTGTTGGTAGGGGATTTATCCAGGAGTTGCAGTGACTGCTGTAGAAATAAAGGGAAACCCTGGTCCTAGCTAACTTAAACTTGCAATTGTTCTCTCACCCTACTCAGCATGAGGAGTAGAGTTGTTATTACCATTTAATTGTGATTATTTGACCATTATTTCTCTGTATGTGGCAGATGGATTTTGAGAGTGGACAAGTAGATCCATTGGCTTCTGTAATTTTGCCTGCAAACATACTTGAGAACCTAAGTCAAGAAGATGCTGTATTAGTTAGAAGAGCACAGTTTACTTTCTTCAACAAAACCGGACTTTTTCAGGTAAGCACATTCATTAAATTATTATTTTTCAATTGTAAATGATATTTCTTTGCTTGAAGGTAAAAATCAACGCTTAGAATCCTTTGAAATATATCTGGAGGTTTAGAAAAATTAATCTGCATTTTCATAACTGAAAAATTTTGATGCAATTATTTAATGTAATTGTTTAAATATTTTATTTCAGATAATGTGCTTAGTAACAAGATGCATTTCTTCCAGTTTTTAAAATAAATATTAGGGTAGGATTTGATGATACGATCAGAAATTGAATTAGTAGCAATGTGACTGTTATGCCTTTTATTAGATGTGTTATGCTCTACAGTCATTTAGGCCTACAGAGGTAAAGAAATTGTAACCAAAGGAAAGAATTTTTTAAAAAAAATTCAACAGGAAGCACTGTTTACATAATGAGCCGCATTCTTGGCTTTAATCAGTTTTCCCATTAGTATTTCAAGGGACCTTTGGCCTTCACATATCCGCAGAGTAGGATGGCATTGTGCTGAGCACATGTTATCATTTTTATTGGCATCATTTGCAGATACTAGAAGGTCTACTGCCAGCAAACACTGCTGACCTCTGTTTGCTTTTGTAAGTATAACCCAATCTAGAGTATTTTTGCTAAGCTCTTTTTAAAAAATAAAATTTATTTACTAAATTAATGAGATAATTGTATAGCTCAAGCAATGTGACCTATAGAAGGGAAAACAATAAATCTCAAGGCCAGTAGAATTGTTTCTAATGAATCTGCTTTATACATCACGTGCAGAGGAGTGACCAAATAGGGTTATAAGTAGAGAAAAGGATTACCACAAAATCCTTAATTTAAAACTTTTATCAGCAAGTGTTTTAGGAACAAGCTACATAAAAATTGTGTATTTTATATCAATATAATGTATGTATTTTATATCAAAGACATAATTTACCCTGAAGGACTTAATAGTTATAAACGTATAGCTCTTCGTTTATTAAAATTATGGTGATTCGTGACTTACAACAGTATTATCTTTAAAAACAAAATGAAAAAGGCAATGGGTGTCACAAAATGTGAATGGCACAGAAAGAGGGTCCAGTTCAGAAGAGAAGTTTAGCTCTGTGGGAAGGATTTGAGACAACCTTTAGAGTTGTAAGTCTCTGTCATTGTTTTATGTTGTCTTCACATCATTTTTTTCCTTCTTTTGGTATCTCCCAATCAAAGTTGTTTCAGGAAGCATATGTTTGGTTTCTAAAGTGTATGTATAGCAGAGTGAAAAAATTTTAAGGTTTCGATGGTGCTCCTTTAATATAGTGGTCAAGATTTGAGTATTTTGTTAATAGAAGGCTGAGTATCACCAACTGATAGCTGACTTTATTGATAATGACCACCACACCAAATTAATATTTTTTAAAAAAACTGTATTCTGGTTGCTGAGTTTTATTTGGAATTTAAGAAATCTTGAAATTATTGCAAAACAACTATAAGGTGTGATACAGAGAAAAGTTCAGGAGGTTTGACAAGCAATACAAGGGGAAGAAAAAAATAGAGATGAACTTGCTGAAGAGGAGCCTGTTGGTCCAAATCATTGTGGGGCACAGATTTGATTCCCTTATTCAGCCTTACTGCTGAAGTAGAATCTGAAAATGCTGTTAAATATATAATCAGAGAGCAAGGTAGAAGTTCTAGATGGGACTTTAACCCAGTAGAATTGCATGTAGGTATAAGAGAGTAAACGTGTCAGTTGACATGAATGTGGAAGATGAATTGCTTTTTATTTTTCACACCATATTTCCTTCATACTTTTCTAAAGGAAAACAACTTCATCTATTTTCTAGAGTAGGGAAATGATCTAATTGTTTCGCAGCTTTTTATGAGTTTGTATGATTTATGAGATTGCATTGTTTCACATGTTAGCTGGCTGACATCAGTCACCACAATCAAGCATGGAGTTTTATGAACATCACCTTACAATATTGTCTCGTAACGTTCCTTCAATATATTTATTATAATAAGGGAAATAGCAAACCTCCTTCAGGAAAGCCAGCAATTTGCTGTTATAAACAGGATGTTCTAGAGTTGAAGATCTTAAGTATAAAAATTGCTGACCATTTGCTTATTTTGGAGCACAAAAGTAAAATAAGAATATGTACTTCTGACTTATGCACGCAATTTTTTTTTTTATTTAAAAGGATGTAGGACTCCAAAGAAAAACCTTAGTGAGTTATGTGATGGCTTGCAGCATTGGAAACATTACTATCCAGGATCTGAAGGATCCTGTTCAAATTAAAATCAAACATACAAGAAATCAGGTAAGATAATGTGCCTACTAACAATTGAATGGAGGCAGTCTATTTCAGAGAATGATGGGGACCTTTTTTTCCACATTATAAGAAATAACTGACCCTTTTGTGAAAGGGGAGATAGTTTTCCACAAAGGGAGAACAGCAAGTTAAGAGGTCATCTACAGTCACATAAATGGCAGCAGCTGGGGAGAATTAGTCTTATCTAGGACTCAATAATCAGAAGGAAAATGAGAGTAAAGAAAAAGTTTACTATTTTTACGAAGCAATGTACATTACTTCAAATTGATTTGATGCAGACGCAGTTGCCATTAGAGGTTTTGGTTGTTTCTTTGTATTTTAAAAGTCAAAGGTAACTGCAACTGGCAAAACCAAGGAAGAAACAGGAGGGCTGACTTATTTTTTGAGAGGATAGCAGTTATCTTGATGAATGTTGCTTTTCTCGTTGCTTTATTACCCTTGCTCTCATCTGTTTATTTGATAAAATTAGATGGGAGTTCTTACTGTCCCAGAGGGCCCAGGAACTGGTTTTTCTTATGTTTGTAAAGGACCCTAGTCGTGACTTTGCCATTTATTAGCTAGGCAGGAAGGCAGGCAGAAAGCAAGTGGGCTAATGATTGGAAATTAAGTCACCTGAGAGCCAGCCACCTTGTATTGACCCCGCTGAGACTTTCTTGTTCTTCCTTTGTTTCAGCTTCTTCATTTATAAAGAATAATTTTATTTATTTATACACAACGTAAAATTTGCAATTTCAATCATGTTTAAGTGTGCAGTTCAGTAGCATTACGTATGTTCACATTGTTGTCAACCATTAGCACTGTTCATCTCCAGAATGTTTCTGTCTTCCCCAACTGAAATGCTATTCCCATGAGATTCTAATTCCCAATTCTCTCCTTCCAATAACCTCTGGCAACAAACATTCTACTTTCTGTCTCTATTAATTTGACTACTCTAAGTACCTCATATAAGTGGAAGCATACAGTATTTGTCCTCCTGTGACTGGCTTATTTCTTTCAGCATAATGTCTTCAAGACTCATCCATGTTGGAGACTGTGTCAGCATTTCCTTCCGTTTTAAGGCTGGTTAATATTCCACTGTATATATATTCCAGATTTTGTTTATTCATTCAACCATCAATAGACGCTTGGGTTGCTTCTACTTTTTTGACTATTGTGAATAATGCTGCTATGAATATGGGCCTACAAATGTCTCTTCTAGTCCCTGTTTTCAATTTGGTTTCTGTAATACCCAGACATACAGGAGAATTTTGAAGATGATGTAAAATTATAGCGTAAAGAGTTTTGTTAAATGCTAAGAATGATAGTGGAATCGATATATTTAATGATGGGACATACACAGTAACCTTCACGTCAGTGGTATTATGACTTCTCATGAGGTTAGAGTTGGTTTTCACTGGAAGTCTCAATGAGAGAGAAGAGCCTCCTAGATTGCCTGACATTTTCAGGTTGTATTGGCATGGCTAATGCTGATCTATTTCCTTGTGAAACCCTTGGCATTTTTATTCTTTTGCCATATTTAAATCATGGCATTTAAAACACAATTTCACATGTTTATTCTTATGTTAATATAGGTAGTGCATCATCCCATCTGTGCCTTCTGGGATCTGAACAAAAACAGTAAGTTTTAAAATATTAGTTTTCTTAATATAGGTAACAACTGAATTCTAAACATTGTTAGACACCCCCGTTTCCTTTAATTCCACCTCAAACCAGAGTGAGTCACAATGTAAGTGTAAATGACAACTGAGCTGCAAAGTTAGTTTAGCTAGCTTGGGAAGTCAGTTCTAATTTTTGTAACTCTTTAGTCATTGCAGAAGAAATAGAGAAACACGACTCTGCTTTCTTTTTTTCAACCAATCTCTTTGATTTCAGCTATTTGTAAAATACAGTGTACATTTTTATTGCCACTTTTCAATGATGATTGTTTACATGCACTTAATCTCATTCTTCTAGGACGCATTTTAAGAGATTATTTGGTATACACAAGACAGACAATTTGAAATCCAGCTTCCAGACACCAAATTATAAGGGAACTGGGGAAGCAAACTGAAGGAGCATAAATATAGGAATGGTTATAATAGACAGGTATTGCTTGAAAGAGAGGAACAGCTTCCAGAATTATATATGACAAGTGAGAAAGGAAGGCAAAATTAAAGGATGAACAAATCATTAGGCATAAAGTATGGGAATCTCTTTGAGGGGAAGTACAAGTGATGAAACTTTTGCCTGCTCCCTCAGGGTCACCTTCCCTCAGGGTCCCTTGTGGGGATTATTGTGGCCAAATTCATTCGGGTGTCAATGCAGGCTGCTTTGCTTAGCTTGAAAGTGGCTAAACTTCTTTCTTTGATAGTTCTTGTCACAGCCGGACAGTTTGCTTTTGGTTTGGTTTTTACTTGCATAATTTTAAGAAGATCTTGATTCGTTCATATACAGAGTTTAAAATATCACTTTGGATGTTAAAATATTATTTAAATGAACAGATCTAGTACTTTGACGATATGAATTGCTCATATTCCATTTTATACCACAAAAGTCAGATAAGTTCAAGCCATTTATAATAAGTTACACCATTCACAACTGCTGTGTACACAATAGCACATCCTAAGAAAGTGGACTTTTTGTTTTTCTATCTTCACAAAAAGTAGACAGACCCTCAAAAAATATTTGTTGATACTGTAAGAGTTCATTAGCATGTAACATATTTGCAAAGGAATATTGTTTTCATAGAAGTTTATTTGAAAATATATTAAAAGTTAAACTTGAATGAAACATTTGCAGAACCCCGACACAGTTTGAATATGCTGTCTAGATAACTTCTAATTGCCCACCCAGAACTAACATTCAATGACTCCAGTAATCTGAACTATTTCGAGTATTGGTGGCTTTAATAATGGTATCTGATTTACAGATAAACTCTGTTAGGCAGACTAAACTGAGGCAAATTTCTCCATAGATGGTCTCATCCTTTATAGAGAAGACACTGACCTGCTGTTATTTTCACACTGTATATTGATTCCTTCAACAGAAAGTTTTGGAGGATGGAACACATCAGGATGTGTTGCACGCAGAGATTCAGACACCAGTGAGACAGTTTGCCTGTGTAACCACTTCACACACTTTGGAGTACTGATGGTAAGGGGGAAGTTTCTAAGCCTATTTAGACACAGTATGCCTTTGGAAGTCATACTCCTTTATTGTGAGTCTGCCTTTTTAGATTGTGTGTTTGGGGAATTCTTTCCTGATAGTTTTCATCTGTTCCCTGAATCTTGTTTCATAATAAAGAATCTAGTTAGCAGAGATCATATATTAAAAATGTAAAAGTGATTATAGAAAAGAACTGTCTAGTTTGCACCCCCATAACATTAACAAGGATGATAAATAATCCCAGAAACAAGAAAATCACCATGAAATCTCTGAATTAAGGGAGAAATAGAGTCAAGAAGATAGGCAGGGACACAGAGAGTTGGGTAGGGAGTGAAAGTTAAAGAAGAAATTGTTGGAAGTTACTGATATGGAAGGGAACCGTGAATAATGTGATCAGTTTGTTTTTTTTTCCTTGTGTTATCACTCACTTAATTTGTTTGAATGTCATTTTGTACCAGGTACTGTGCCGGGTGAGTGATCTTTCCCCTAGAGACTACAGTTTGTTAGAGCGGGTTATGACTAGGGTTAGAATGGACACTTCAGTCCTTCAAGAGGGTGGGTGTGATGTTTCTCACACTTTTAAACCTCCATATCATTCTTCCCTTCCTTCTTTCTACCTCTGTGGCCCTGTTTTATCTATCTCATTAGCTAACTTGCCAACAGTTTTAAACAAAAATTATATTGCATCAATGTGCTTTTTTCATCCCACCAAATTTTGAAGACCCACCCCACATCCAGCAACTTGTTTGAATTTTCCCATAGACTTATACCTTAACCTTTCAATCAGTGAACTTGAGATTTTGCAAAAACTGTCCTGCTTTTCTCTATTGTAACATACCACAATTTCTGTATAGTTTTCATAAAGAGACCAAATCACATTTATTTTTTAATAGGAGATGGGACTAATGTGAGCTGAGGCAATAAAGCTTTTACAATTAGAATCACAGACAAGAGGTTGTGTTTGTCCCTTCTTTCCATCTTATCCTCTTTTTTTCCTGTGGAGACTTGGAGGAAGCAATGAGGAACTGGGGGATATAGTATTTGGCTCATGAACCTACTTGACCTATGTAAATGGCTATTAGCATATGGCGACTCTGCCATTTGTAATTTTTCTGGCAACCAATACATATATGCTCTGAGGGATAATAAGTCATATAAAAAGGTGACAAATTATGAAAAATAACTTTTTAGCTTTGTAAAATATAAGCATATTTGTCATCGCCAGAGCATAAAAATGAAAAATTAAATCATAGCATGTTTTCCCTAAGTAGTTAAACAAGAAAATACAGTTTCCTTTCATATTATCTTTTATCCTAGAATGATAACAGGCAATCTTTCAGGAAACCTATTTTGTATGATTACTTATTCAGGTATATAAGCTTTGACTTAATTCATTTAAATATTTCAACTGTGTATGTACACGTGTGTACGCTTGATCATGATTGTATGTGTTGTAAGTCTAATATGAAATAATTAGACAATAGTAACAAAATTTACTCTTCAGAGGTTATTTGTATATAATGAGAGTTTGACTGCCCAGTACTTCAAATGGCCAGTTCCTTCATATATTGTTTACATTTTTTATGAGTTTGTAATTACCTGTTACTTTTCCGTTGCCTTCTGATTAAACAAGTAAGTGTGTGTATGTGTGGAGATATGCAATTTTAGTGCTTTCTTTCCATTTTCTATCTTGGTGACTTTTGTAGTATGATAAACTGCTGATGGAGAAACTTTCTAGAATTAATTTTTTCTAGTGATGTGCTCATAACCCTTTTAGCTTTTCCAGACCACCAAGACTTTTTATTAAGAGTTTTTCTTGATCACAAAGTCTTTATTCACTTGTATAGGATTTTTCTGGAGTGTATCCAGAACACATATGAGAAGCCCCTCATATTTATAATGATATCTTCCAACTTATGAATACATTAAGAATTTAATGTCATTGGCTCCATTTCTTTGTAGTAAAACCAATTTTCATATCCTTAACATTAGTACATTTTCATATTGGCTAGTTCAGAGGAAATAAGTATTTTCATATTTTTATTCTCTAAAAGTACAAAACAACATGAGAATTGTGTGTAAATGTATCAATAAACAGCATTGTTTGCTTTTTATTTTATTTTATTTATTTATTTCTTTTGAGTTGCTGTCTCACTCTATCGCCCAGGCTGGAGTGCAGTGGCCGCTCCCGGCCTCTGCAGCCTCGACCTGCTGGGCTCTGGCGATCCTTCAACCTCAGCCTTCCAATTAGCTGGAACTACAGGCGCGTGCTACCATGCCCAGCTAATTTTTGATTTATTGTAGAAATGAGGTCTCGCCAAGTTGCACGGGCAGGTCTCGAACCCGCGGGCTCAGGCAATCCACTCACCTCAGCCTCCCAAAGGTGTGGGATTACAGGCTGAGCCACCGAGCCTGGCTTGCTTTTTATTTTAAATTCCAAATTTAATTGTGATTTGCAGGTCAACTGCCTTATAGATAGGAACCATAGGTTTTTCAGGAGGTAGTAACACATCACTTGAAGATCCCTCTAGACTGACTTATTATAGGGAAGACACTGACCTGACATTACCTTCTTTCCCAAGCTCTCTGTATACCAGTATTACTTGAAGAACAAAATTACTAGGTCCTCCTAATAAAATCATGGAGTAACCAAAATGTTGGTTGAGGTAGCCTGTCTGTGAGTCAAGTGGCTCTGACTCAAACCCCATCCCATTTGCCATGGGTGCCCCAGGTCCTCCTAGTGTGTTTTGAGGAGTTCCTGGTATAAGAATAATAGGGGAAATCCCCTGCTTCTGCTGAATTCCATCACTTGGTGCATTTCTTGGTGTCACAGAAGTACTTACTTGTTATAGCATCAGTCAAACCTAGAACTGACTCACATTTTTTAATTTCACATACATATACACACCATTTTCTCAAGGCTGTTTGTGGGTAGCAGATTTTATTGACATTTTGGTGAAAAATAAAATCTACACATAGAAGGAAAAATCATGAGACAGACTTTTTTCAGAATTTAAGACCTAAAAGTTTCAACTGAATGTGCAATATATCCTTTCTCTAAGAACACTCCATTTTGGAACATCTGAATAGTGGAGATATCTTTCTTTTCCAACCAGGGTTGAGTGGTTAGTACTTCAAGATATATCCCTGTCCCCATCCCCCATTTGAGGAGGAAAAGATTTTCCTACCAGGTCCACACTTTGTAAGTCTGCTTCAGCATCTTGAAATTAGTACTTCATATTAATACACTGAAAGGAGTTTATTTCTTTCTACTCCACAACAGCCCCAACACTTTATTTATTTATTTTTTAAATTTTTATTGTAAAGATGTGGGGTACAATTCAGAGTTAGGTATACAAACATTGATCATGCAGCTATCCCTGTTAATGAGGTATGCCCCTTCCTCCCCTAGCAGTTTCCCTCAATTGCCAATCCCACCCCGCCCCCCCCACCAACAGTTTCCCATAACTGGCAATCGCTTTCTTATAGCATTATAATTGTTCAAATTCCTCTTATGAGTGAGAACATTTAAATTAAGCTGTTTCGGATCTATAAGAATAAAAAAATTATGGCCCAAATTGTCTTAGTGGCTTCTCATTTATGAAAATAAATAAAGAACATCCCACCTTATATACCAAGCTCTGAAATGACCCCAGGTAGGAACCTTAACACACTACCCTTAGATCCAGGCCATCACAGCACCAGCACCAGCCTCTGGCTGTCTCCTGGCTGAGCATCTCTCTATCTGCTAAAGGCCTAAGGGCCTTTGGCTTTGTGGACTAAGGTGGCCTGCATTTGTATTGGTGCCCCAGCCCTGCAAATGTTATGAGTGGGCTTGATGATTTATGACACAAAGCAACCACCTCTTCTCCAGTTTCCATTGGGCAACCCGGTAATTTTGTTCTGTGTGCAAAGAGCTTGGGAAAGAAGGTCATGATTAACAAAACTAATAATACAAGTACAACCCTGTCCCAAAATAATGCTGCATTTTTCTTTTATCCAAAAGAATACAACAAATGGAAATTCAGTATTGATTTGCACTGTTGTTTTTAGTCACTGAGATTGAGCTGCTCTAATGTTAGCAATGAATCTTCCAGAGAAACAAAGAACCATTCTCATGAACAGAGAGATTCTTACAGCTGCTTCCTATGCTTTATGTAGGACCTTCCAGGAAGTGCCTCACAGATAGATGCAAGAAACACTAAAGCCCTAACTTTCATCACCTATTTTGGGTGTGGAATATCTGCTATTTTTTCAGCAGCAACGCTCCTGACATATGTTGCCTTTGAGTAAGTATTTTTCTATCTGCAAAACCTGGTGCTACCTATTTCTAATGTGAATAAGAAAATTGTCCAGCTTTTAAAAACAATTATATACTTTGTGAATCATGTAGGGTGGTTCAAATTTAATGTTCAGATTTCTCATATAATATATTACACAACCTGAATTTTCCAGCTGTTGAATTTTGATTTCTAATGAAGGTATTTCTATTTATAAAATACACTCGAATTTGGTAGAAATGATTAATATTTTGTATAGGATGTTTTCTCCATTGTAAAATGTCAAAACATTTGCTTCATAAATCTTTTAGAATTAGTCCTGAAACAGAAAAAAAATTTAAACTTATTTTTAACTCAATAAAAACTAAGAAACTTCAAAAAGGTTTAGAGAATTTTTTTTTAATAAAAAGGTCATTCTTATAACTCTAGAATTTTTTCTGAATTAAAAAGTAACTGTCAAAACAAATTGGAAATTTTGTAAATAATTGGAAATAGTTTTGATGTAAACTTAATTTTGTTTTTTTTAATTGAAGTCTCACTCCATTACCAGGCTGTAGTGCAGTGGCACCCTCATGGTCACTCCAGCGTCGACTTGCTGGGTTCCGGCGATCCTTCTGCCTCAGTCTTCCAAGTAGCTGGAGCTACATGTGCATGCTACCACACCCGGCTAATTTTTGATTTATTGTAGAGATGAGGTCTCACCAAATTGCCTGGGGTGGTCTCGAACCCAAAGGCTCAGGCAATACTCTCACCTTGGCCTCTCAAAGTGCTGGAATTACAGGCTTGAGCCACTGTGTCTGTCCTAAACTTAATAAACAGTCCTTATAACTGGCCAAATACTCAAATATCTTTAGCCCGCCTTCTCCTAGCAGAACTGTGTCAGAAACATGTTGCTCCTGATTCTATTGCAGAGCTGTATAAGATGTGAAGTTGCTGCCTGTGCTTAAAAGATTTATTTACGATATTTGTTTTCTTATATGTATTTTCCTTCTTCAGGAAATTGCGAAGGGATTATCCCTCCAAAATCTTGATGAACTTGAGCACGGCTCTGCTGTTCCTGAATCTCCTCTTCCTCCTAGATGGCTGGATCACCTCATTCGGTGTGGATGGACTTTGCACTGCTGTGGCCGCCCTGTTGCATTTCTTCCTTCTAGCGACCTTTACGTGGATGGGGCTAGAAGCAATTCACATGTACATAGCTCTAGTTAAAGTATTCAATACTTACATTCGCCGATATATTCTAAAATTCTGCATCATTGGCTGGGGTAAGCTTCCTAAAGATTTTTGACTTTGTTTTTCTGTCACAAAAATTGCCAGATTTCCATAGAATAAAAAAATCCTCTTTTTTTCCCCCAGAGGAACTTAAAAATCGTGAATGATGTGGATTAGATATACATATCTTAAGGTAGGGGGCATCTTCAGGACTGTATTTTAAAAACTCTTTAACAGCACTCATTAAATTCAGGAGTAAAGGAAAAGCCCTCACTCCTGAGTCACCACAGACTTATTTCCTGAGCCCAGAGCCAGCCCACCCAAGTCTGAAGAAGCAGCTGGCAGATAGTGGTTCTTTTCCATTATGCCTTAAAATATAAAGGCCAGCTCAGACTCCTAGCTATACTCATCCCTAGACACACGACTATGTCTTAGAAACCAGAAGAAGGTTATTTTGGTGTGTGAAACCAGAATAGTTACAGAATTCTTGCCTTGAACTTTTCAGTGAGTCTTCAGTCAGACATGGATGGTTCTCTTAACCTGGTTGTGATCTTCTCATTGACTTCCTTTCTTTATTTGGGTTTCAAATTGGACCAAGCATTTTAGAGCTTTCTCACAGTCATTTTCAGATGGAAATAGAGGAGTGAGTGGTATTTCCAAGACCTTCCATACCAACTCAGGAGGCAATAAAAGCATATTTCAGGCAACTAGGGTGGCATAGAGTTTCACTTCTGAGATATATATGGGAATACTTTATGGATGCTCTTAAGAGAAGAGAAGACCACAAAGGCTTTAAACCCTATATATTTCCCTCTACTTTTTCTAATCCCACTAATTAATCCCAGAATAATTAAATAGGTGTTATTTAAGAGTAGGTTTTAACTGTTGTTCATTAGAGTTGTACATTCCCCACCAAGAGAAGAATGTATTGCTGTTTTTAACCAAGTTGCTAATTCTTAGAAGTTTGAATCTATTATATGGAGTGTTTGCATAAGCGTGTATACTCACACCCTCGCACTCGCTCTCACACACACTCTCTCCCTTCACCCTTTTCCCCTCTCTCCCTTTCCTCTCTCTCTTCCTCTCTCCCTCTCTTTCCTTGCCATTATCATTCTTATAAAGCAGTTCTAGATGCTTCAAATGAGTTGTTTATGTCATGGTCTTTTTATAACAGGTTTGCCTGCCTTGGTGGTGTCAGTTGTTCTAGCAAGCAGAAACCAAAATGAAGTCTATGGAAAAGAAAGTTATGGAAAAGAAAAAGGTGATGAATTGTAAGTAATAAAACTTTTTTGGGAATGTATTTGTAATGAGTATATGTCCTTTGTTTCCTAAAGTTTAGTGTAGGTTTCCATGCCAATAATGAGGCTCTCATTTTAAAAAGTTGACATTTATTTGCATGACTTTGCCAAGGTCTCTGCTGTACCACAGATTAATTCAACTGAATGTCCTAAAGTATTTGAACCACTTTTCCATATTAACATTGTATCTGTCATCTGGGGAAATTCAGAAGACACCTAAGATACCATCTTCTAGCGTCAGAAGACCCATTCTATTTGAGATTTCATAATACTCCTGTTTCTTCAAACCCACACACATCTTCACAAGGTAAACAGCAGTATCAGACAGTGAATGATTCAATGCCGATATCAGCATAATATAGAAATGTAGTGAATGGAGAAATGAGTAAGTTCTTAAATAACTTGGAAAGTTCCCTTCAGACTGAAAGATCATTGATGTTAAGATTTTTATATTTTTTAGTTTGGGCAATTCTCTCATATTTTATTAGTCACATCGTGCATGGTCAAAAAACATCTGTTGACTGAAATAATTAATGAATAAAGAGCTTATTCCTGAGAGGAGATCTGTGATGCCATATACACATGCATGTTTCAAGAATGGATAATACTTCAGTCTCTTGTATTTCTAAAGTAACACTCAAAAGACCCCATATGAACTAGGGTAAAATAGTGGAGCTAGGTCAGGAATTCTAGGATTTTAGAGGAGATTCCATATGTAAAGAAAAGTTAGCTACAGGGACAAGCAGTATTATTTCGAGTATCTTTATAATAACATATATTAAAAGTAGAAATCGGTAAGTTCAAAATATGAGAATTTAAAAAGTATGTTAGTCAACTCTTACACAATTATATTTATTTGTTTGTTTGTTTGTTTATTTATTTTGAGTTGGAGTCTCACTCCGTTGCCCAGGCTAGAGTGTAGTGGCATGCTCACGGCCACCCCAGCGTCAACCCACTATGTTCTGGCAATCCTTCTGCCTCAGCCTTCCAAGTAGCCGGAACTCCAGGCATGTGCTACCATGCCCCGCTAATTTTTGATGTGTTGTAGATACAAGGTCTCACCAAGTTTCCCAGGCTGGTCTCGAACCCGCAGGCTCAGGCAGTCCACTCGCCTCAGCCTCCCAAAGTGCTAGGATTACAGGCTGAGTCACCAGGCCTGGCCTACTCTTGCACAATTTTAATGTACTACTTAGTAAATTGCTGAACTATTATCAACTCTTATTTATTAAGAATTTACTGTATGCCCGAAATGTTGTTAAGTTCTAGGATTCAAAGATGGTCAGGACAGCTTTTGCCTCTGTGGAGGTTATATTCCAGTATGGAAGACATAACCTAGAATGAGGACTATTAATAATAGAATTTTAAGATTAATTTAATTACCTTTAACTGATTCATCCCATGTTTGAGACACCTAAGAATTTCCACATCATTGATTGGGCTCTAGGATATCTGCAAATTGCAGTGTTTGTCAGCTTTACTTATAGTATACTTTGCACATAGTACAGTTTTAAAATATCTTTCATCTATTATTTGATCTGTATATCATCCTAATTATCAAGTACAGATTTATCTTTTGGAGGGTGTGCCCCTTATAGTTCACTTAGTATTTGTTCCTCTGGATCAAACAGTCAACCAAAGTTTTTATTGGAAGTTTTGAGAAGGTTTCATCATTGTTTTGCGGAAAAAACATCCAGAGTTATGGCAACAGGTGACTGGTTCTTCCACCTTGACAATACATCTGCCCCCACTGCACTGAGTGTTCAGCAGTTGTTGACCAAACGGCATGACCCCCATGCCTTACCCTCCCTGTTCACTCAGTTTTGCCTTGAGTGACTTGCTTTTTGTTTTCCTGGATGAAAAATCCCTCAGAGGGAAACATTTGGCCTATGTGGAAGACGTGAAACAAAAACAGCAGAAACACTTAAAAGGCATCCAAATTTATAAGTTTAAAAACTGTTTTGAGCAGCAGAAAAATCATCTCAGTAGGTATATGGCAACAAATGGAGAGTTCTTTGAAGGTGACCGAGGTTTAAACATGTAAGAATAAATGTACAATTTGTTATGTATAAATTTGGGGTTTTCTTTTGGTCTCCCCTTATATATCCTTCTCCATCTTATATGAATATTTTTTACTCAGTCAGTGTAAGCTTTGTAATTATGCACGAAAAGTGTCTATATAAGACTCACAGCTCTGTAATAAGGTCTTACCTCAACTAGGCTAATGATATTAATAGGAATTATTTTGTCTACAGTAATAAACGCACAACTAGGTATGGCTTGAATAACTAGGCGTTTACTCTTTGTAAATGATAAGAAACATGGAAGTAGCAACCACTGGCATTGAGTCTATGGTTAAAAATGTGAGGACTGACAAATCTGCAGCTTTCTTGGCCTCTGTCACAGACAGAAGATGACTACTGCAGCTCCATAGCTTACTTTCATATTTGAGGCCAGAAGGAAGGAGTCTTGCCAGTGGAATCTACCAAGAATAGTTCTCCCAAAAATCCCTTAGCAGACTTCTACTTCCATAAAATTTTGTAAAGCAGTGTCACACGGCCGCCCTTCAAATACAAAAGAGATCGAAAATGAATTCTTCAAAGTCCCATTTTTATTGTAGAGGCACACAAGAGAAAAGGAGGTTAGACATGGCCTGGGAGAGCCATCCAAGAGTGTTTTCATACCAACTCAAAGCTCAAGAAGCCATCTTGTTTTCTTTTTAACGTTGAATTAACTTAAATAACTAAATGTTAAGTTGATGGCTATCTAAAAACAAACAAAAAACACCTATGAAAAGACTGAAGAAGAAATTGAGATCCAAGGAAGTGAAGTGACTTTCTAAAGGCACTGGAGAAGGAAATTTTCAGTAGTCCAAACTAAGCCAAGAAAATTCTTAGGTAAACAGGACATAGCAATAAATTTCCTTTTTTCTTTCTCGTTTCTTCTTTTTTAAGCTGTTGGATTCGGGATCCAGTCGTATTTTATGTGACCTGTGCTGGGTATTTTGGAGTCATGTTTTTTCTAAATGTTGCCATGTTCATTGTGGTAATGGTGCAGATCTGTGGGAGGAATGGCAAGAGAAGCAATCGGACCCTGCGAGAAGAGGTTTTAAGGAATCTGCGCAGTGTGGTCAGCCTGACATTTCTGCTGGGCATGACATGGGGTTTTGCATTCTTTGCCTGGGGTCCTTTAAATATCCCTTTCATGTACCTGTTCTCCATCTTCAATTCATTGCAAGGTAAGATAAATTGTATCTGAACAGTTTCTACTTTCTAATTTTGTCTTATTTGCAAGTCATTTCGTTTCGTGATTGATGCCATGTTAAGTTTCTACATCACTAGTCCAAGTGCTGAGCACAGTTCCAGGCACAGAGTGATCCTTCATTAAAAAGTTCTCGAATGAAACAAAGAACTGAATACCACATGTTCTCACTCATAGGTGGACCTTGAACAATTATAATGCTATAAGAAAGGGATTGGCAGCCGGGCTCGGTGGCTCAGCCTGTAATCCCACGCCTTTGGGAGGCTGAGGTGAGTGGATTGCCTGAGCCTGCGTGTTCGAGACCCGCCTGGGCAGCGAGACCTCATCTCTACAATAAATCAAAAAATCAGCCGGGCGTGGTAGCGCGTGCCTGTAATTCCGGCTACTCAGAAGGCTGAGGCGGAAGGATCGCCGGAGCCCAGCAGGTCGAGGCTGCGGTGGCCGGGAGAGGCCACTGCACTCCAGTCTGGGTGACAGAGTGAGACACCAACTCAAAAAAACAAAAAAAAAAAAAGAAAAAAAAGGAAAGGGATTGGCAGTAGTAGGAAACAGGATTGGGGCCCAGGGGTGGGATTGACATTAGTGGGAAACTGCCAGGTAAGGAGGGGCACACCTCATCAACAAGGGTACCTGCATAATGAACTTTTGTATACCTAACCCTGAATTGTACCTTACATCTTTAAAATTAAAAATTGTTTTAAAAAAAGGTCTTAAATGGATAAATCAGGTAAAATATTAGTTTGCGTTTTTCTTTTTCCCCAGTGATGTATCCCAAGTAGCTAGAACAGTGTTCCTGGCAGATAGTAGGTGCTTGATAAATATATATTATTGCATGAATGACAATGGAGCAGGGTAGGTATCTAGCTGAGAGCCCAGAGGGAAATTTTGAGGGATGCACAGACAACTTTTATCTTCTTCACAGTTTTGCTGAGTGTTGGTGCTCTTTGTGGAACCTTATCCCTTGTAGTTATACCATTCGTGACCAGAAGAATTTTTAGTTTTTATGTAGGAGCAGAAGCAACTCACCTTGATTCCTCGACCCTTGACTCCTTGGATTTCAAAATAAATGCCAACACTTTAGTTCAGAAATTCTCATCTTTTCATGAGATATGTTGAACTTTTTATAATTAGCTCCACAATTTAACAGAAGTTTGCCAGTGGCCAGCTTTGTATAAAAATATGAGACTTCCTTGGAGGAACTTCCAGTTTTATTTATTCCATTATACATACCTTAATGTACTCTATAGAGAATTTAACTTTTAAGCTTAAGTGAATATTAATTTTTTGAGAATTAAATGACATTCTTTAAGATATTTTATGTACCCAAGGTTGTTGATAAAATTCCCTAATGTTCCCTCATGTTGGTACCATGAGGTCAGCACTCTAAAAGAAATTAGGTGGCAATGCTTGGAATATTATTACACAGAGCATTACCAATGACTTACCTAAAGCTATTGGTCCTGCAACTGTAGATGTGTAGGGAAGGAAGAGCTGCATAAATCTTATCTGGGGTGGAAAGCAGGTTGGCACTGCTTACCAACTGAGGTGCCAAGGTGGACGCTCCCTACAGGTGTGTTCTAAGAAAAGCCTGTACTTACCTGCAGGGCAGTGTTGTTTACTGCTTATCCTCTGAGGTTCTCCACTAGATTGTGAACTATAAAGAAAATTTGTCACATAGTAGATGCTCAATGATTGTCAAATGAATGGATTGCTGAATGAATAAAAGAGGCTTTGGGGATGGCTTAAGTCCAATTTGAGACTCCTCTGGCATAAATATGTTTTAATTAGTTCAGCAAATTTTATTCTTGTTTACTCTTCCATAACAGAGGAAATGTGTGGGCCCATTATCTTTAGAAATAGAATAATAAACTCAAGTGCAACTCCAGTAGTTGGAGACTGAGTATATAGCATATGACTATATCTTCATTGGGATCTAGCTATGTAAAATGAGTACTTCTCTATTCAATCTCTTCTATAATATACAACATAAAAGTGCCTAAATAAATATTGACAAAAGTTTTGTTAACATTAGAAATTCCATGGTTTTATATTTCAGGATTGTACATGAAAGGCACATTGATCTGCCAACCCAAGCTTGGTTTTGCTTTGAGAATTTCCTGGCAGTTTTAGTAACCTTCAACAGCTACAGTTGTCTGTTCAGCTCTGTTTCCATTAATGAGTATTGAGATGTTTTATTTTTCCCAGCATGGATCTCCTGTCAGGAGGGGAAAAACGTTGTAAACCATCATCAAGTCAGTGTTCTTCATAAATCACTGACTTCTAAGACTGATTTTAAGTTATATAAGTTCAGAACAGATTTCTGCACATTTAATGACATTAAAACACATCCTTAAAAGTACATTTAAATTAAAAGGCAGTGATACAGAATGCACAAGTCTACCAATAATTGCTTACTGCCCAGTCTTGTGAAAAATCTTCTCAGGATGTGATGGAAAGTCCCTTAATGGTTTTCATTGGTGAGTCATTTTCCAAACCTTCCAAGAGAGGCTTTGTTGTTAGAAATATGTGCCTTACTAAAAGAAGCATGTAGAATTTAGACAGTTTAAAGAAACAACTCAGTGACTGCAGAATGAACTCAGGTAGTATGTAGACAAACTATGTTCAAAGGTTATATATATGTGTATCCTTTTTCTTCTGATGTTCTTCATTTCAGTAAAAATCTTGACATCGTCTCTTTGCCTCATAGAGCTTATATTCTAGTAGGGGAGACTGAGGTTAATCAAATATATTGCTGTATAAAAAGTAACTCATGAAAAACATTGTAAACCATCATCAAGTCAGTGTTCTTCACAAATCACTGGCTTTTACTCATACATCACAGAAGACATGATGTATAACCTGAAATCTGAAGGAAGAAATAGGAATTATGTAGGTGAAAGATAGGAGTAGGAGTGAGGAGAAGAATATTTCAGGTAACTGGCCCTTTATGTGCAAAAAATTTGCTATACTTGGTGATGACAGTGAATGTTCAAGGAGTTAAAAGAAAGCTTATATATCCAGAGAACAAAAAAAGGGCAGGATAATGACAGTGCAGAGTGGCACAAAAGGAAGGGAAGTGGTAGACCAGACATTTTGCTGTTTGTCAATGCAATAGGAAGTCATTGAAAGATTTTAGACATGTGGAGTGACATAATCAAATGTGTGCCTTGTAGAGATAAAGCTGGATATAATGTGGAGAATGGATTGGAGCTGCCCAATTGTATCTGTAGGGAGAGGAGGTAGGAGACTCTCTCATGATGGTCCAGGAAAAGATAGTCCAGTATTTTCGACAGCGATGAGAATTCGGGAGCCAGAGAGATGTGCAGGGTCAAGTGAAATTTAGGAAGCATGTGCCTCTAGAATACTCATCATTGGTTAGGTCATTAAACTCTTATTTTTCTAGAATGATTATGACAAGGGGTCTACTTGTTAATATAATAATAAAGTTAATGGATGTCTATTATTATAAGACTTAACAAGGCTAAGGCTTTGAAATGCAACACAATATTCTGAAAGCTAAAATTATACCAAAGAAATTGTAGTCTTGCTCAGATTTGGCTGAGCATCTAAAAATCAACAGGGTAACAATGTAATGCCATGGAGGTAGGACACGTGGAAGCAACAAGTGTTCAGGGTAGGTCTACTGTGGTGTCAGGGCATATATATCAGAGAAGTGGCTTTTGATAGATTTATTTTCACATTTGCTTATTTCTTCAGAAATTTGGTTTGAGCATGTTAAATAATCCTTTTTAATCTTTCAAGGTTCTTGGAAATATATGTAGGTATATATGTACAAGTACATAGTCATATGTAATTATATGAGTACTCACATAAATTTGAATAGCCTATATATTGAAATGTTTTATGTGCTTTATTTTTATATTTGCATGTTTCATTTTATATGTTCATTTTTGTATGTATTTTTATTTTTAGTTGCATATGTATTTTTATGTACATTTATAAGTGTGTAATTTAATTGCCAAAAATTGGGTTAAATGAATATCAGAAAATTGTAATCTGTGTGGTTACAACTAACCACAAAATTTTACCTACTTGAATAAGCAAATGAAGTCATGAATTAAATCGAGGCTAAAACCAAGATTATTATTTTCTAATTTTCCATAGGATATTGCATTGTTCTCTTTATTTTACCTACTTCACTTGATTAAGTTACATAGTAAGCATTTCATTGATTTTTTCTACTAAGATTAAAAGATAAATATACCTTCTCTTAATACAACAGAATTACACATCTGTCTGCTCTATTTTTTCTGCTTTTTCAGGATAAGCTAGCAGACATTGTATTAAAAGTTTTTACATTTTTCTAAAGAATACAACCACAGAATATCTTATGTTATACAAATTGCTATGCAACAGAGAACAAATGATTGACAAAAGTCCATCATAATTTGCATGCCTGAGATCATTGGACTGTACTTCGGTAATTCATCCTACATAAACAAAAGGCAATTCCCTGGTTGCTGAGATCTTGGCCAGAGCCCTCTTGGACATCTGTCCCATGGTGACATCATTGATATACTTACAGAACTGAGTTTTTTATTGCTCTGAGATGCAGCACATGCATGTTGCTACTTAATATGCAAATGACAAACAACAGTATCCTAGTCTGTATATCTTGTTCATTAACTATACAAAAGTGTTTGACACCATGCATTAGATTAAATTTCTCCAATATATAGGGAAGTTTAACTCTCATGACAATTTCATCCAGATTTAAAGTATAGCTCCGTACCAAGAGCTTTGTCTTTAACTTTTCTTTTCCAGGCATATGAAACAATATTGATTAATAGTCTCCGGCATAATCAGCCCATCTTCTGTAAGGCTATAAATGATAGTATGAGATGCAACATAACGTTCTGCACACAGAAGCTGCTATGGAGAACACAGAAGGTTATCGTTAGCCTACTCAGAGATAATGTTTACCATGAATTACTTTGCTAACATTAAGATACCCAG